CTGCCCCTTTTACCCACATCAAGTTGGATGGCCCATTGGCAAGTGCTGAGAGCCTACAAGGGAGATCCTGAGCTTGAAATACCAGTTGGAGTAACCAGCCCAGGCACAAAGCCAAGCACACCCAGAAACTCCTTTCATTCCTGATGACCAAACCCACCCCACCCCACTCACCTGCTCAGTGACGGAGAGTGGGACTTCTTGTTACAGCAGCAAACAACAAACAAAAGAAACAAAAGAAACCCAGATTTGACTCCTAGTTCTCTAAGTTCTTCCACTGAGTCCCTCTTCCTACAAAAACCATTTTCAGTTACTTTTCTTTCCATGATTTGGGGGTGTTAGAGGAGACCACCATTCAATTGAAAAGGACACACATGCTATTTTTGTATGTGGTTGTTCTGTGTAATCTGATAAGGGGACAGAGGGGCTGCCAGTGCAGTGATTTAGAACCCAGACCCGGGACCCAAAGGGCTGGATTTGAGTCCTGACTCTATTGCTTCCTGGGTTGTGACCTTAGACAAGTTACTGTACTTTTCTGTGCCTTTGTTTCCCCATCTAGTAAAATAGGGGATATTAGTGTAACCATCTCAGTGCCCTTGTGAGGATTAAATGAGTTAATACATAGTGAATTCACAGAATATTGTCAGGCACATAGAAAGCGCTATATTCATGCTTGCTTTTATCATCATAGGTCATTATGTAATTTATCACTTCTAATGAATACTGAGGTCCTTCCAAAAAAGATTCAAAGAACTGAAAAATGACAGTAACTGAAAAATTTATTAATGAGGGTGTTTTTAAGGAGTAATAGTTTTTAATCAAAGGGGAAAAAAGCTTCTTTTTGTTTGTTTTTCGTGATAGTGATGTGATGGAAGCATCCTAACCCAGAAACTGGGAGACATTGATAACAGTAATAGGAATGATGTAGCCTGCAGTAACTGTGAAATTTAAGAATATTGTTTTGAGCAGCTATGATGCGCCAGGACGATACCTCACACAGATGATCTCTTTGATTCTCACAGTCAGCTCTGCAATGGCAAAGCACTGTTATTCACACATTGCAAATGAGGAGGCTGGGTCAAGAGTTTGACTAACCTGCCAGGCACAAAACAGGTGAATGGAGGAGACAGGGTTTAAGGCTGAGGCCAATGCCAAAACCCGTAGGCTTCCTGGTCTGCCCCTACCTACCTTGATTGGTCAAGATGCTTAGCCCCTCCAGGTTCTGTAGAGGAAAGGTGAGAACTGGTGTCTTGTAGCTCGTCACATTTGGATGAGGAAGGCTAGACCTAGGATCAAACCATTTAAGACTGTGGAATTCATTTCAATTTTTGATGTGCAATGGAGGCTAGAAACAATGAGCCTGACCTTAATTCAAACACTAAGTCATTATGTTTGACAAAGAAATGTAAACAGGGTTTTAATTGATTCATGTACTTAACCATCGGTGGTTCATTTATTACTGTCTTCTCTGTAATAGTCTTCTCTGGGTCTTGGGATGGGTGTTTGGGATGGGGGAGAGAATGGCACAAAGCAAGGGAGTATAGAGTAAATTCAGTAATCCTACAATATTTGGAACACTAGCTATGCATTAGTAATGTTACATATGTCAACCTAAATAAAGGGGTAAACTGAGGCAAGCTCAAATTACCGGAAACTGAATTATTGAGGAAAGACATGTTGCAACAAGGCCCTTGAGGGTTTGGGTCTGGGCTGTATTTATGGGCAATGAGTGCAAAGAGAGGAAGTCCAGCCAGAGTCCAGGCAGTATGTTTATTGGCTTGAGGATGGGGAGAGATTCTTGGCAGATGTTCATTGGTCAGGAGCTAAAGTTCTGTTGTTTGTCAACCAGGAATTTAGGGGAAATCAGTCTCTGTTTTAACTTCCAGTCTCTGATGGCGTAGCATGAGAGATTCTCCATTTCATTTCCTCTGGTTCCATTTTAGTTTGAAGTCCTTTCACACATGTGAAGTGTTTCAGATGCAAAAAAGCAGAAGAGCTTCTCTGGCCCTGAAGAACTAACTGAGACTAGCTGGAGACAGATGTGTGAGAACTGGGGGAGCTAGAGCTAAAGCGGTGAGCGTGCTAGTACAGAGACCCCCCCCCCCAAAAAGAAGAGCTGGAGGGGGCTGGTTTCCATTTCTGCAAGCAGCTTTGTGGCTGCTGCAGTGGGCCCTGGAGCCCTGTACTCCGGTTTGGATCTCGGAAGCCCATAGTTCCAGCACTGGACCAAGAATCACCACAGACAGAACTTCTCCACATCTATGGAGGTGACAGGGTTCACTGGCCAGTCCCCCAGTGCCTGAGGAAATGCAAAAGAAACTCAACTTTTCAACATTTATAGCAGTGCTTCCATTTCTCATTTTAAGTCTATAATATTTCAAGTATATTACACATTATGTAAGGATATGTAGGCTGCTAAGAATCCATCTGTAGGAAAGTGTGTTCTGAGTTCTAAGTCAACAAATATGTGAAATACAACTCTTCTGCTTGCAAATTAGGCTCTTGTTGTCGTGGAATCTAGGAAAGGCCCTTTAAATATTTCAAGGACCTGAACCACTGAAATGTGGGAGAAGACTCCCTAGGTTTTTTGGGTGCAACAGGAGGGGTGCTGGCCTTGAACGTTCTGGTCTTGCCTTGGAGACACCTTATTCATCTCACCTGGCTGAGACCCTGGTGGACCCAGGAGGTCTTAACATGTCATCAGTCAGGAACAGGTGAGCCAGTTACCTTGTGGGTCACATCAGCCACTGTCCTTGGTGCCAGAACCATGTGGTTTCAGGAGATGGGAGCTGACAAATGGAAGACAGAACATCATAATGATAGAAAAAAACTTCAGGGCTAGAATCAGAAGGAAATTACAGGAGATAAAAACACCCACAACAAATTCCCAAAATGACCCTATGATCACAGGTTGATAAAGGAAGAGGAGACTCACCTAATCCTGGTGAAAATAGGGCAACACAACTTGGTGCAGTCGGGCTGAAAATTAAACAGATGTGAGTTTCTTTAATTCAAAGGCTTAATTATTCTGACGTTTTCCATAACTTAATCTGAGCCATCACTTCAGCTTTAATTATGCATAATGAAATGGATTATTTACAATAACTAATATGACAGGAAAAACTGAGAGGTGAGAATTGGTAACTTGGCAACTGTTTATTCATACTTTCTTTCAATCCATGTTTATTGAGTACATACTGTGTTTCAGCCTTTGTCATAGCCCTAAAAGGACAAAAATAGTGTCATGAGAGTAACCTACTACCCGCCATTTTCTTTCACTTAATTCACATACTGCTTGCACTAATACCCCATGGTAGGTATTATTTTCCCTTATTTATACAAGTGGAAGTAGGATTCTGAAAGGTTGGTTAATTTGCCTAAGGTCACACAGTAAAGCCTGTTTCTCGCCATCTACTTCAGACAAAAACCTATAGACTGACATTCTGAATCTTATGTTCTGCGTTATGTAGGAAAGTCAACTTTTCCTAAGAGAAATTTGTTATTTTAAGTAGGAAAGCGCGTGATCAAAAGTGTACTTTGAGGAAGTAAACCTGTAAGATGCAGTGCAAGATGCAGTGATACCATTGAGACAGGCTAGTCCAGGGGCCAGGACCTTAAGCCAGAGTGGTGGTAACAAAACTGGAAAAAGAGATTGGTGGAGGCTAGAAGGGGCTGCACAAAGGTGTGCATGTGCCAGCCCAGGAAGGGAGACAGCCTTGCTGCCCATGGTCGGGGAAGTAGGAGAGGAGGGTCCCAGGTTGGCCAATGACTAGCTTGGATTTGGGGCACGTCCCTCAGCTTCCCTGAGCCATAGTTTCTTTTTGTCCAGAACAAAAAGAAGCTAGGTTCTGACTAGCTTATTGAGTAGTCTCAATTCAGGGTCATAAAAACTGAAATGGGTTTTGTTTTCCCTCCAGTCATTGTTTGCAACTGATCTCTGTTAAATCTCCCTTTCTTGTCCCTTAATATCTTACTTTCTGGTCACTTTCAGTTATCATTGTCCATGATGGCTTTTACAGCTTCCATTTCACACTGTGCTTAACTCTCATGTCTTGACACACTTCTGCCCCCAGACCTTACGTAGGTTAAAGTTGCATTTGTAACCTATGCAACTGGAGCTGCCCCCCTAAGAGTTTGAAGCCTGAATGTGGGGTGTGGTCTGGCTCTGACCAGCTTCCTCTTTGCTGTCTTTTCTCTGGGTGGACAGATGGGGAGCAGGGAGAGCAGAGAGCGCCAGGTGGCTACCTAGCTGACCCTCCTTGCTGTCTCTCTGGACTAGTGGTGCACTCACTATCTTGCCAGCGGTGACCTCCATGTAGCCAAATGTTGGTTCATTTATGGGGCACACCTGTATTCACAGGGAGGAGCTGGTTTCATACCCTGCTCCCCAGTCTTGGGCTGCTGGGCTCCCCAACCAGAGCAGGCTGCTCTCGCACATGAAGAGCAGCAGAGAGGGTCCAAGTGTGGTTTCCTTCTGCTGTGCGTGCCCACTGCTGTTCTTATTATACCACGTCCAGGGGTCAGGCTGCTCCACCACCACCTTCCTTCTGCCCAATAGTTGCTCCTGAGTGGAGGCGGGCCTCCAGGCTCCAGCCCTGTCTCACTGGGCAGGCCTGTGCTCTCACACAGGACTGCATGGGGTCTGAAAACCCCATGTAGGGCAGCACCTGGGCCTGAAGGATAGACCTCATGTCTCCCTGGTGGGTAGAAGCCTCACAACTCCAGTAATCTTCCTCCACAGGCTTCTTTGAGGGAGGGTGGGGCAGAGGTGATGGATGCTGTCCTAGGGCAGTGTCTTTCACAGGGGTCTGCCTGGAGGAGGGGTCTGGTCTCAGCTCTTGGCTTCAGTTAGGATACAACTCCGAGTCTGACTCATCAAGTCAGAGCGTGTTCTTGCTGTCTGAGAAGCAGGTAATCAAAAAACAAACAGCCCTATGGTGTTTAGAGTCTCCCTTAGTTACCACAAAGCATCTGTTTGATTTCTTGCATGGCAACAAGACCAGGAGGGGAAGATGAGTGGCATCTGGAACAAACTTTGGGTGTAAGGAGGGATTCTCACCCAGACAGAGACAAATATGCAGTTAGCAGTTATTTTCCTGGTTCTCCTGGGGACTGCATCAGGTAAGAATTCCACTTTGCCACCTTGCTTGGCTTACTCAGTTAATATAATATCATTGTATGATAAATTCCTGAAAGAGTAAATTGCCTCTGGCAGACCTTGTTCAACTATGGGCTTATCTGCGCTGATGAATGAGCTGATGTGGCAACAGGGAGCCCTGGGAAGCAGGAGAGGGGTTCCTTGGAGAAAAGGGCTCCCTAGAGAAACTGCAGTCTGTTTTATGTTGGCACAGGCTTCTTTTTCTGTCTTGTGTTAACTGATCTGAGCTGGGAGTCCTTCTGAGATCTAAGGTTAGGAAGTAATTCTCATAGAGTTTTTTGTCTAGAATGAGTCCATCTTTGTGGGGATTCTGGCCTTTTTCTGGAACCTTTTGGGGGCAACTTGAGGTTGACAAATCATACTGTGGGAAAACTGAAGTTCTGAGGGGCTTTTGTCTTAGCAAAAAAATGTCTTCTGATAGAAGAGCCAACAAAGTGATTTTTACACCCCTTCTCCTTGTTCAAGAGCTTTGAGAATCTTGGATGATCTCTTTAATGTTTTCAAATTGGATTATTGAAATTGAGCTTTGTAAATGAAATCTCATGTTGGAAAAGGTAGTATTATGCATAGCATATTGAATTCAATCATGTTATATTTGCAGATTAATTTAGAGATAATTTACATCTTTCATGAGTTACATGATAAAACACTTAGGACTATCTGATACATAGATAATGCTTACTAAATGTTAGTGATTATGATGATATGGAGTCTTCCTATGCAGAATAGTTTTCTTCCACTTGTCCAGATCTTCATTTGTTTTCCTCAGGAGTGTTTTAAGGTTTCCTTACCAGAGATCTTGAACATTCTGATTATGTTTATTTCTAGCTGTTTCTTTTACTTTTTATTTATTTGCATTAATAAGTGGGATCTTTTGTTTCCTTATATCTTTTCATTGTTGTATATTTATGGAGTCTATGAATAAATTATCTTATTGTTTGTAATGCTTTTTTCAGTTGAATCAATGCATTTTCCAGATTTGACAATAATAAACATTTATACATATCTCCTATTACTCATCAAATTACTGGAATTCCACCTTCAGACCAATGTTAAATAATGACAAGTAGACAGTCTTGTTTTTTCCCCATTAAACATGATGCTAATTTTTCATGTGAAATAAGAATGTTTTATATGCTAAGGAGATAACTTTTGCTCTTTAGCGTATTTTTCAATCAAAATGGATTTTTAAATTGAATAATTTTTTAAGATCTATGCAAACGACCATTTTATTTTCTCCTTGTCTGTTAATAACATAAATAAATAATTGGTTTTCCTAATATTGATCTCTTTGATCTTGGGCTTTTAGACTCACCAGAGGGCAAGAAAAACTGAATATGAAGCTGGGCCTTGGGCAACTCAGATTCACTTGAATTAACATTTGAGATTTCCCCAGAAACATGGGCTTTAGAGCACATAATTATTCGAGTTAAAAGGTGACTTTTTTTATTGTCAGTGGGGGAAGAGTAAAGTTCAGAAGAACCCAAGGTCTCATACTGAGCACTGTCATTTGGGACTTTATTATCAGATGTATGAAAAGAATAGATCACAAATGTTTGTGAGACATACTTGAGATTTCTCTTTATTTTTTTTTTAGATTGATTTATTTGTGCATACAAATTAAAACCTCATTCCAATCCCTCCCTCACCAGAAGACCATGCTCAGTACCATGCTTTTGCTTCACCAGGTCAAGTCCCATTTTGTGATACAGACTTTATCTCTCTTGCCTTCTTTTGTCAGTATAAGACCCTGATCTTTACCCTCGTTTTGAACAGCAGATTTGCAGAGGATTGGGGTAAGGAGGCAGCCACATGCTCCACTATCCTCTTTCCTCTCATTTAGTCTAACTCCTGTTAAAAAAGGAGGTAACAGGCCTAAAATGGAGTCAGCTAAGCTAAGTTCCACATCACCAATCTGGGACTTACTACCTAACCTAGCTGCAGTTTCAGTCTCCCCAATAATATAATCTTAATCCAGTCAATCTGGAATTTCCTGGTCAGCACTAGTGAGCTAATTTGTGTCAGAGACTTCTTCCATATTCCCAAATGAAGGTGACCTTGCCTGAAATGGTTTGTTCATTCCTGATATCCAATCTAACACTCTTCCAACTGAGCTATTTCAGCCCCAATGGCATTCCTGATCTCATCCCATTTCTGTCTGTAAAAACCTTTCATTTTGTCATGTTCTTTGGTGCTCCTTTCTATCTACTAGTTGGAATGTTGACCTACTCATGAATCACTTTAAAATTTACCCAGTTGGATTTTGTTTTTCTTCACCACCACTCTATATCTCACCTCTCCCATGCAACCTTCCCAGATTGCCCTAGCTCTTGGGGGGTGCTTTTCCTGCCACACCCTAGAGCTCTTCCTGCACATGGAATGCATGCCATGGGTTTAATGCAATACCTAAAATAGAATAAATATTCAACAAAAGGGAACATGAATCATCATACTTTAGTTCACCTGTGTATCTGTCCTTTGTCCTCATCTAGAATGTCTGCCCTGCAATGATGAGTTTCATATCTCTTATTGCTCTGTTCTTCCTAAGTGCTACATCCACACAGAGTATCCCAAAAATATCTGTTGATTTTTGTTGACCATTATCCCTTTTGGAGTCTGGTGTTGTTACTTTTTCACATTACTGATTCCCTCTCAAATGCAGAAATTTAAATCTTCTGCCTATTTTATGTTGCTACTTAAATTTGCTTCTGTCCTTTCCACTTCCTATTAAGGTGAGGGAAAGGTAACAGTTTCTCTTTGGGATGCTATAGTGTCCCATTCCAGTGATGGCTTACAAAGGAAGGCCCCCCCAAGAACATAAGCTAGACAAAACTCCCAACTATAACAAAGGAGAAAAGTCTTCTGGCTCCCTCAGTACTGAAGGACTATGTGTCATTTCTAGAAGATGGAAGACTTAGCAAAGGCCCCTTGGTATATCAGCTCCACTGCACACTAAGGCTGTCTACATTTCATGCCCTGAGGGAAAGGAAGATATCCCCTCACACTTGCCGAACCCCATCATCGCTTTGGTATCAGAGGTCCAGGGCAGCCAGCTTTCTCCCCAGTAACTGTGGCTCTGGAGGCCTTAATTATGCTAACACAGACTCCCAGGAGGAGGTCTTGTGGGTCCATTTCTGGCAAGGCAGTAATTTTGCTCATTTTGAAACAAGCAAGCGCATCATCCATCCAGATCGCAACCACAAGCAAGATGTTTCATTGGGCTCATTGACTGATAATAAATCTTTTCCGTGCTTTTTCAAAGTGTACGCTTCAAGCAATTCTAATTTGATTCTTAATTAAGATGCATGTGTAAGTCAAATTCCATTAACACCTCCCTCTTGCTCTCCAGCGCTCAGACCACCAGTGAAAGTTTGGAGAGACCAGCCTTGGAAGGCAAGCTCATGGTGCCTTAGAAGGAGCTAGCCCCTGGCTCCTCACCTTTCCTCTGTCACTGCTAGCTGTGTGCCCTTAAACTTATCTGTATAAGGAACGGGTTGAACATTTTGTGAATTGTGTATCTTATTAAGTGCTCTATTTTTAGGGTATGGACTCTAGCCATAATTATTACTATTGTTGCTATTGCTCTTACTATTATTACTGCTGCTGGAACTTTTTTTTTAAGAGTCAGGGAGCTGAAGGAAAAAAGTATTAAACTAAGAGCTGGGAGATGCCAGCTGGATTATATCTTTTGTTCCCAGAGTGTCTACCACTGTTTTTAGGATTCAGGTGCAAGACCCTGCCACACATTACTTTATCCGGGGAGGAGAGACCGTTAGATAAAGAACAGACCATCCTCAGCAGCAATGTCAGCACAGTCTGGTTTCATCCATCCATGGGATAGGCAGTTCCCATCACAAATTGCTGAGGCACACTGGATATATCTACCTCTTCCAGAATACCTCCTGCATTGCCATTCAAAATATGGCCGTTCAAGGAGGACTGTGAAAAGCTCTATAAACAGCAAGAGGTGGCATGGAGCTATGCAAAGATCCCTGTCCTCAGAGTCAGATGCCTTGGATTGGAAGACTGGTACCTTTATAAAATTAATCTTCAAACCCAGTGCTTATCAAAGTTACAATGAACATGCAACAAAACCACTGGACACACTCCAGCAACAAAACCAGGAGCTGTGAGCTGGGGCTATTTGGGGAACATGGCTTCTCTAGCTTTTCCAGTTCCCCCGCAAAACCACACCATGGTTGTTGGCGCTGGTGATCTATACATTCAGAGTGAGGCTGTGGAGCGCCCTGGGTGAGACTTAGTAAGCTTCTCCTACCCTAGCTCCCAGCAAGCTCATACTCCAGCACAGCTTCTTATATTGTTCTCAAAACATCTGGGCTAAGTATTCAGTCTCTTATTGCTTCACTTTCACCAAATTGTAGAATAACCACAACACAGCACATGTACACAGTCCCTGCAGAAGGTCTGTGCACTCTGGTAGCTGCTAGACCCAGGTGTGAATGGCAGGGCCCAGCACAGCCACTACCAAGCCTTTCTATCTGGTGTGTGAAATGGCAACAGCCATGCCCACACCATAAGATTGTGTTTAGAGGGAATGAAGTCAGGCAGTAAAGCAGCTAGCACGATGCCCAAGGTGCTTAGTAAATGCAAGTGGCTACTTGTATCAATTTATTCATTTGGGCAGGCACTACCTGAACCTGGTTTACTCCTGAGAAAAACTGAGTGAGGTAGAGACTTGTTTAATTATGGACTTGGCTGGAGGAACACAAGTCACTGGGGTGGGGCAGAGGCAGCAAGAGAATGGTGATGGTATTGGGGGTCATTCCAGATAAATCCCTCTCCTTTTCTTTTGCTTTGACTTTCCTTGTTCAGCTGAAGAGTGAAGAAACACTCTGGTAAACAGCTTAGGGGACCCTGTGACTTTCAGTTGTGGGAAAAGAGGACATAGGGAATTATGCCTAAAAAATCCAACCCACCAAAGCAATTGATTAATTTGCTCATTTTGAAAATCTATTTGGGAGAACTTGTTGCCTCTAAATACTCCAAGCATACGATTTTGCTCCTCGTTTTTATCACAAGAATGTTGAAATATTAAAGTCACTTTTAATAGATACAAAAAATCCATTCGTATTCATATCATCCTAAACCTCAGCTTTTTTGAGATTTCTGAGACCTTGCATAGTCCTTGTACATAAAACTGGATAATTCTGAGAGCAAAAGTAATGTATGCATAATGTATTTTAGTTTGTATATGAAGTAAGATGACTTTAGATTAGCGAATGCTTATATCAATGTACATGCTTACATTTCATATTTTCCAACATTTCCATTTACTCTTCTGCAGTCCCTCCCCGTTTTTTTAAATTTTTCTTTTTTCCCTCACCACTATCCTTTATACCCCTTTGACTTGTCCTCCATCCCCCCTCCCTCCTTAATCTCAGAAGCCTCACTGCTTATTAGTATGAGCTAGTTTTTATAAGTATTTTGCTTTGTTGAAGTGTTCACTATGTAAATGTCCAACATTTGTTTTTGTCATTCTGATTTGCTTTACTACACAGAATTCACCGAAACACCTTCTGTTTTGCTATAAATGGCAACATTTCATCTTTCCATGTGGTTGAATAATATTCCATTGTGTGGATAAACCTTAACTTCTTAGTCCACTCCTCTATCAGTGGGCAGTAAGGTTGTTTCCATGCCCTACTTACTGTCAATAATGCTTGTAGTTACATCACTTGTAGTTACATTCCTTGGCTTGTAGTTATATCACTACAATTCCTCCCTCTAACATAACATGGCGTCTTCATCTGTATGTGTCTCTGTGATCTGTCCTTTTTAAGGAGAGTAGCCATTGGACTTAGGGCCCCTGGATCTAGTATGAAGTTCTCTTAGGTAATTACAATACACCTGCAAAGGCTCTATTTAAAATAAACTATATACTAAGGTTCCAAGTGGGCATGAATATTGGGAAACACACTGTTCAATGTCCTCCAGGAACCATCATTCTAAAACCATGAAAGGATGTGACTGGTTGCTCATGTTTGTACTGACAAAGTTTTGTAGATTATCCCAAGGCTTTAATGGAAGAAACATATTTTTCTTAAATTATAAATGCCCTGTCTATCTGTAATGCAGCCCAAGGCAGTGCATGTGACTTCACTGAGTCATTTTCTTCTCTATTAAGTGGGAGTTAACCTAACAACCAAAGTGTACTGATTGACCCTCCTCTGTATGCCCGTAGCAGCCATGAAAACAAATAATTGTCTTTGAGATTACTTAAGCATGTGGGGGGAAATCTACCCTGCTTTTGGAGCTCCAGCCACGTGTATGCCATTCTCAGATAACCTCATGAGCCTCACACTGACACAGAGAGGAAGGAAAATAAACTTTTAAACTACTGGGCCCTTGTAAGAGAGAAGATGCTCTGGACAGACCAGTGCCTTTAAGTGGATGTCTGTCACCTAAGGTGTCATGTTTCTTTCCCTGACTTTTCACAAAGAATGAGTGGAAAGAGAAGGGAAGAAGGACAAGAGAAAAGAAGCAGCTTTATTTACAGAATGGCAGAAAGGGATCTCGTGGCTGTTTGGTAGTGGTGGTTTTCCTGGCACTCAGGAGATCTCCCATTCCCATTTCCAGTTCTTGGGAAGAGTATTCATTCTTGGAGAGTGACCAGGTCTCGTCATTGCCTTGAGCCATGAGTGGAAGCCACAGACCAAGCTGTTCAGTCCCTGTTCGTAGCACAAGGCTCTGTGTTCATGTCATTTTGCATCCTCTCTACATCCACAGGGGGAGAGGCGCTACACCTAATCGACTTACCTGCTACAAGCAATGTGGCAGAGAATTCGCCACCAGAGACTTCAGTGCACAAGTTTTCTGTGAACTTGTCCATATCCCTGTCACCTGTGATCCCAGGATTTCCCATGATAATCAATTCAAGTCCCCTGACTGAAGGCTTCAGGGTGAACTGGCTATCAGGCACCGACTTTGAGGTAAGCACCATCTTACTCCCCATAGGAGTTGTCTGTACGGAGGCCCCTGTAGATGGGGGTACATGGTATTTGAGATCGGTGATGATTTCCTCTTTCTGTGGTTTACTCTCCCCTTTTGTAAGCTTCAGAAGTCCTGTTTTGGGCTTCCTAGAACCCTTTGTGCCAGACACTCCTAGAGCCTTTGCACCCTTATTTCTTGCTACTTCAGACCCAGTCACTCACACTCAAGAGCCATGTTTTCCTGGCTGTCCTATGAATACTTTCCAAAGTTGTCACTTCCCCTTGGATAGAACAAACCTGTCCATGGTATATTTTCCTCTCGTGAACTCAGAGGCCTTCTAAGGACATCTTCAGGGTCCAGGCACCTGGACTACTTACACCGCTGCCCCTTCCTCAGCTGGCATAGGAACCTCTTGCTGCTGATCCTACCTGCTTTTGCCCTAGAGTTCTGGTAGAGCCCAGAGGGCTCAGCCTGCAGGGGCTAGCTCGGTTGCTCCCCTGACGTATATACTAGGTGTTCTTAAACACAGCTGATTGTAAGAGTTACTAGTGAAGTTTTTAAAAATTGTGCATATCTGGGCCCCAGAGCACACACATCAACCACTCTTCACTTTAGCATCCAATGTGTAGCTGCTGGCTCTGTGACTTCAAAGCCCTGCCTACCGGCTTTCTTGACATCTGGTTCATCTTTAACAGCTGCTGTCCTTCCTATAAACTTTGGTGATTGCTTGCACTTACAGTGCGCATCGTGAACCCTGGAAACTGTTTTACATCTATTTACTCTCAATCCTCAAAATGGTCCAATGATTTAATTTGTATTATTTTTTTAAAAGATTTATTTATTTATGCATACAAGAGCTGGGGCACAGGCCAGAGGTGCAGGGGGTGAGAGGATCCACCAGAGACAGAGTGGGGAACAGAACAGGCAGACTGACTGAAATACACTACTGAGGGGAGCAGCAGGTGAGGCAGGAGAGGTCTGCTGTGCCATGTGGTTCGCTCCCTGGCCGGCCAGGGATCGAACCCATGCTGCAGAGGCTGCGGATTGCTTCATAGTGCGGTGCCCAACCCCTTGTGCCACCAGGGAGGCCCTTAATTTGTATTATTATCTCCTCTCACAGGTGGGGAAAATGAAGCAAAAGTTAGCAGAGAGGGTAAATAACTTGTCCCAGGTTGTACAAGTTATTAAGTAGCTGAACTGAAATTGGACAGCTTGAGCGCTCATTACTTTTTCAGCAGTTTTATTGAGCTATAATTCACATAACATACAATTGACTCATTTAAGGTGTGTGATTCAGTGGGATTACTACATTCACAGACCATCACTACAATCTAATTTTAATAGTTTCATTACTCCAAAATGAAACCCCATAACCACTGATGGTCTTTCCCCTTTCCTCTATCTCCCCTCTCCACTGCTCCCCAACACCCCTAGTTCTTGGCAACCATTAATCTACATTCAGTCTTCATGGATTTGCCTATTCTGGACACTTCATGTGAATGGAATCATTATATGTGATCTTTTGGACGTCTTTTACTTACACATAAAATTACCGGGGTCATGTATGTTGTAGCATGGATTGGTACTTCATTCACTTTTATGGCTGAATAGCATTCCACTCTATGGCTAGACCACATTTTATCTGTCCATTGATTGACAGACACTTGGGTTGTTTTCACTTGAGAGCTCTCGTTTTTTGGTCTTGATGGTCTACTGCTCTAAAGCCTCACCACACTGCTTCCAAAGCATAGGCACATCCTGATCTCTTGATTGTTATCAGCTCTGATATTGTCACTATTTCCAATTTTGTTTTCCAATTTTAGAAATAAGATAACAGTAATAACAAGGTTAATTGATTTGGCTAAGATCACAAAGCTATAAAAGGATGAAATAAGAACTTAACTCAGGTCCTTTGACTGCCAAGCTCAGGCACAGAACGGATCCCTTGAATCCTTCTCTTTGGAGTCTGTTCTTTCCTCATTCTGTGAGATTCAAACCTGATTGTCATTCAAAGAATAATTCCATGCTGTTCCTCTCCTCCAGAAATGGGGGGTTTCTTAGCCCCACAGCTGACCTGGTCTCAAATGCTCGGCTCTTTGTCCAAGACCTGGTGCCCTCCCAGCAATACCCTGTGTCAGTACTAGGAGAGGCCACAAGTTCACATGCCCTGAAATTGCTTTTTAAAATTGGTTGCTTCTCCCCATAAGCTACCCCTGGACCATCCCCTATTACAGAACATCACATGCCATCTCTGTGACAGAACCTGGCTTCTCCTCAGGCAGCCTGGACACTTTGGGTGGCCAGGGTGGCAGTGATATTTTGGTTCTCTGGCTAAAGTCTGCTCACTGAGAAGTTTGTAGGCTTCCTGAGCCTGAGTTCCCAATCATGGCAGAGGCCAGGCCTCCCTGCTTTCAGACATAGTTGTTGAGATTTCAGGGGTGGGCTGGAGGGCAGACAACAAAGAGGATTAATAATAACAATATTGGTCCTCCCTGTAGGTGCACGGGTTAAGTCTCAGCACTGTCAAACTATCCGCAGCAGTGCAGCACAAGTTTGATCCCTGGCCAGGGAGCTAACCCACATGGTGCAGCAGACTTCTCTGTCTTGCCCACTGCTCCTCTCAGCAGTGTATTTTCAGTCAGTCTACCTGTTCTGCTCCCCACTCTGTCTCTGGTGAATCCTCTCACCCTCCCACACATCTGGCCTACACCCCAGCTCTTGTGCATAAATAAATAAATCTTTAAAAAAATAATAATATTGATGATGGTAACAATTCACATTTATGGAACGTTTGCCATGCACCAGGAATTCCCCTGTTTTATGAATTCATTCATTTAATCCACATAACAACTCTTTAAAGTGGTGTGCTAGTATTTTTTGCATGTTAAAGTTGGGGAAGCTGGGCCTCTCTGGTGGCGCAAGGGGTTAAGATGCAACCGATGAAGCTGTCCACAGCCACTGCAGCACTAGTTTCATCCCCAGCTGGGAAGCTACCCACATGGCGCAGCAGACCACTCCTGACTGGCCCGCTTCTCCCCTCAGGGGTGTACTTCAGTCAATCCACCTGTTCTGTTCCCCACTCTGCTGTCTCTGGTGAAACCTCTCACCCCCCACACCTCTGGCCTATACCCCAGTTCTTGTATGCATAAATAAATATTAAAAAAAAAAGGGAAGCTGAGGCATGGAGTGATTGAGCAGCTTGCCCAAGTTTGCATAGCTAATTGATGGCAGACTTGAGATTGAGATCAGGAGGCTAACCCATAGCCCCTAGGACCCCTGTGCACAGCCCACACACTCCTGCCCCTCCCCACCATGCTAGCTTGCTGTTCTAGCAGGTCAGAACCGATCTGTCCACATGTGGCTAATCATCGGTCAGGAGTTTCTTCTGGAGCAGCACCAAGAAGGATTGCTCTGAGAAACCAGAGAGGCCTATTGGCCAAGCTCGGCAGCTGCAAAGACAGGAGGTGGCTAAGATCCTGGAGGCCAGCACCTGCTGCCCTTTCTCTCTCTGCCTGACTCCCTACTTCCTCATCTGTTCCCATGGATGCTGCAAATTTGCTCAACCTTGTCCAGAACAACCTCAAATTTAACATGTCTAAAAACCATACTTAATGTCTTTCACCAAAACTCTGGAACCAAATCGAAGCTCTACCACTCCCAGCTGTGACTGGACTCCCTTCCCCTCTCTGTCTTCATCGCCTTATATGTGAAGTGGGGGCAAGTTTTACCCACCTATGGTGGTTGTGATAATTAAATTATTGCACAAATGGTTTGGCAAGAGCCTGGCATATAAATATTTCATAAATGCTGGTAAGAATAACTAAAACAATTCTTCCATTTGTGTTGATAGCAACCTAATTCCTTTGGGATATGTCGTTTTGGACCCTTTTTCAGCTGATCTATTCATTCCTCCAAGGTGGTAGTTTCCAAGGAGAAGAATGGTCACAAGTAATATTCTGGTAAAGGATCTATTCTAGCTTGGAGTCAGGAGATGGTTCTAGACTTAGCAGGAAACAAGGATATAAATCAGGAGCCAGAGCAGTGATCTTGATTGAAGGACCTGGCTGGTGGATATGCATTCACTAAATAGTTATGACTGCTTAATGACAATGAAAGTCAGCATGTGCTAAGTGCTCGTTCAGTGCCAGACAGTGGTCTAACTATTCCATGGATTAGCTCATTTTATCCTCACAACAACCCTGTAAAGGAGATGTGGTCATTATTCCCATTTTATAGATATGGAAGTTGAGGCATGGAAAAGTTAATAGAAAGGCTGGGCCTTGAAGATGGTCATTTTGACTTCAGAATCTATGCTCTTTTTTTTTTTAAGATTTTTTAATTTATTCATACAAGAACTGGGGTACAGGACAGAGGTGTAGGGGGGGTGAGAAGATTCACCAGAGACAGAGTGGGGAAGAGAACAGGCAGATTGACTGAAACAACTGGTGAGGGGAGCAGCAGGCAAGGCAGTAGAGGTCTGCCACGCCATGTGGGTAGCTCCCTGGGGGGCCAGGGATCAAATTTGTGTTGCAAAGGCTGTGGATAGCTTCATGGGTTGTGTCTTAACCACTTGTGCTATAAGGGAGGCCCAGAATCTATGCTGTTAACCCCTATATCTTACTGCCTCTTACCTATCCTGTAGCAAGCATAGGGACAGGTATGTGGATACCAGGTTGACCTGTTCATGAGTGGAGACCAGGACCTTTTCACTCTCAACCCTCCGCTACATGTTATTCAATCTCTGTGAGCATTCGTTCACAACTGTGGCTGTCTTCTCTACTCTTAACCAATCTAGATCTTGCAAAGTCAAACATAATTCCCACCACCTCCTCCATGAAGCCTTCCTTGACTAAACACAGCTCCCAATAAACTTTTTTTGACCCTGATTTTCCACAGTTTCCTTATCTAACTTTTGTACTAATACTTTGTTTTATAATCCAGTTGTTTAACTAGGGCAAGGATAAGTTACCTGATTATTATCAGTGCAATAAAATAAGGAAAGATAAAGTGATAGTCCTAAAGTCACACAGAAATTCAGCAGTGGAGATGAGATCAGAGCTAAGTGCTCTCTTTTCAGGATACCAAATGGCCTGACCCCAGCCCATTAATAACCAAAATATTTTATTAGCATAATTGGGCATTTATGAGATTTAATCCTTGATGTCTCCAAGGGCTCTTGGCCTTTTGGGAGCTCCATGGGCTAAGTTGGCAGCAAGGATGTGCACACAGTTGTCAAAGGCCACAGGTCAGTCTCTAGTTAGCCTCAGCAGGGCCCTCCCACCAGGGTTCCTGCTGGCAACCATCTAGATTGTGGTGATGTCTGTCTGGCCCTGGTTTGTGGTGTCTCTCATCTCCAAAACTCATAGCACAGAGAACAAATCTTGAACTGTGAAAGAATGTGTGGCAAGGCACTACCAAAAACTGAACAAGCTGTTGTTCATTATTTAGGCAGATGCATCCCTCTTCTCTTGTTTATTCTTGGAGGTGGCCTTGGAAAAATAGGCTTGAGGTGATTAGTCAAGATATGACTTAACGCAATACCAGAAAAGTACAGCATCTTATTCCTAAAGATAAGAAAACTTAACTATATGTAAGGAAAATAAGGGACTTGTCTGGGTGCCGACCCCAAGTAGCAATAGGCTTTTTAATTTTCAGGCTTTCTTTTTCCAGTCAAAGGATGTGTCCTGAATATTTTCCTTTCATATAGAAAGCAGCATCACACGCTGGAGTCCCTTTAGTGAAGCATCCTGGGGCTTTTTTGGAAGAATTAAGGAAAAACAACCAGTTCCTCTAACAGTGAGCGGGAGATGGTTTCCAGGATGCTGCTTACTTCCTTCCTAGTAAAATCCCTTTGCAAAATGTATGCATACAAAGCGGAACTTCTTTCACATTGTTGGAAAAAAATTTTGCATTTGGCTCTAGGTTGTCACGACTGGGAAGGAACAACTAGATTTTGAAACAGGACCAAACATATTTGAGCTGCAGATTTATGTTAAGGACGATGTCGGGGTCACTGACTTGCAGGTCCTCACTGTCCAGGTGACAGATGTGAATGAGCCACCTCAATTTCAAGGCAACTTGGCAAAAGGTAAGATGTGGGGGAGGGGGGTGCAATGCAGCCTGGTCGTGTCATCTGGGAAGACCCCAGGGGAATGAGCAAAACAGAGGAGTAAATAAACAAGCAGCTGTTTCCCTGGAAAAGACAGCTGCTTAATGAGCAGGGAATAAATGAAAGGCCCTCCAGTCCAGGATTCCCAATCATAATACCCAACTATCCATGGTTTCTTTGGAGCCTCTCCCAGTACTGAGGAGGAAACTGAGGCTTGGGCTCACAGTGGACTACTCTGGAGGAACCTGAGTGAATCCCATCAGAGGCTAATCATTGAATTCTGGTCATGACTGACTTTTTCCTTCTCCCTGTGGATGCTGACCCTTGGAGGGCAGAATGTATTGGAGTCTGCTATAGAGTAGGGACAATATAAAGGCTCATGTATGTGATCTCAAGTCCATGGCTTTGAGTACCATTCATACACTGTCATGCATCACATAACAATGGGGTACATTCTAAGCAGTGTGTCATTTGGTGATTCTTTGTTCTGCTGATGTTGTTGATATACCTTTACATTTCTAGAGAGTATAGCCTATTGGGACCACTGTCACATATGCAATCTGTCCATGTTGTCCCCTGAACTCCTGACTATCCAACTGTCTTAACCAACATCTCCACTTGGATGTCTAATGGACGTCAGTGATATTGTGATTTATACTAAGAAATATGTATCTTGGTCTTTATCCCTTAGTGAAGAGAGAGATCAATGTGGCTTTTGTTATGTTAATGAGGCAACTTGTGGAATGCCCCCAATGAGCTAAGAAGGGAGACTGGTCTCCAGCAGAACCACAAAGTGATAAGAGGGTTGGACCCTTTACACCAACCTTTCCTCATTCACAGCCCTCCCCTACCTCCAAGGAGGGAAGAGGGGCTGGAGATTGAATGGCCAATGATGTGATGATTTAATCAATCATGCCTATGTAATGAAGCCTCCATAAAACCCCAAGGAGGAGGTTTGAAGAGCCGGGTTTGGAAGCACGTGCAGACTTGGGGAGAGAGGCACTCTTGGAGAGGCATGGAAGCTCCAATCTTGCCCTATGCATCCCTCCCATCTGCTTGTCGTTGTGTTATATATCCTTTCATAACAAATAAGTAAGCTAGTCCATAAAATGTTTCCCTGAGTTTTATTAGCCACTTGAGCAAGTCAGTTGACCCCACAGAGGGATTTTTAGGAAGCTCAGCTCTCTAGTTGATTGTGCCAACTTGGACTTGCGATTGACATCTGAAGGTGGTAGGAGCACTCTTGTGGGGCTGAGCCCTAAACCTCAGAATCTAGGATCTGATGATATCTCCAGATAGTGTTGAAATTGAGCTGGGGGGCTCCCTGGTGGTGCAAAGGTTGAGGCACAACCTATGAAGCTTCCGCAGTCTCTGCAGCACAAGTTCAATCCCCAGCCTGCCAGAGAGAAATCACATGGGCACAGCAGACATCTCCTGCCTCGCCCGCTGCTCCCCTCAGCAGTGTACTTCGGTCAGTCTGCCTGTTCTGTTTCCTAGTCTATCTCTGGTGAATCCTCTTACCCCCCCGCACCTCTGGCATGCATCCCAGCTCCTGTATGCACAAATAAATAAATCTTAAAAAAAAAAAAAAAAGAAAGAAAGAAAAGAAAAGAAATTAAAAGCATTTTGGATACACTGAGACCCTATTGTAATAAATTAAATGAATGAATGAATAAATAAATAAATAAAGTTGAGTTGGATTGTAGGACACCTGGATGGCAAGGGGGAATTGTTTAGTGGTGTGAGAAAAACCTCATATTTTAGAATTGTGTCAGAATACAACATCTCACACTTCCCTCAAACCAAACTCTTGGCTCCCATTCCATCCTCCTCCCTATCATCCCACCCAAATCTACTTCTATGTCTTTCCCATGTTAGTTAATGACAACTCCATTTTTTCCAATTGAGTCAAAACCTTGGAGTCATCCTTGACTTCTCTCTGTCTGTTATGCCCAACATCAAATCTATTAAGAAGTATCTCCAGCTTCTAAATCCATGCACAATCCGACCCCTCCCTAGTGCTTCCACCACTATCACTGTGGTGTAAGGCACTATTCATATCTCGCCGGGGTTATTGCAATGCCAGCTAGCTGGCCTGCGTGCTCTGCCTTGCCCCCTGCATATAGTAGGCAGAAGGATACTGTTAAATATCAGTTAAATCAAGGCACAGCTCTGCTTAAAACCCTACAAGAACTTCCCATCTCCCTCAAGAGGAGAACAGAGTCTCCTTAAAGCCCCATCAAATCTAGCTAACCCATACTGTCCATACCCACACTGCAAACTCCTCCCACACTCTTCCCCCATTCCATTTGTGCCCATGGTCCTGGCCTCCTCTCTGGCCTACCTGTGAGCACCTCAGTTCTGGGAGTACCCCAGACAGATCTTACATCACCACGTGACATCTTTGCCTCTGCTGTTTCCTCTGTCCCTTCCCCTGTATCTCTATGACTCCTCATTTCTTTTCCTTTTTTTTTTTTTAATGCATACAAGAATTGGAGTACAAGTCAGAGATGCAGGGGGTGAAAGGATTCACCAGAGACAGAATGGGGAACGGAACAGGCAGATTGACCGAAATACACTGCTGAGGGGAGCAGCAGGTGAGACAGCTTCGCCATGTGGGTCAGCTCCCTGGCTGGGGATCAAATTCGTGCTGCAGAGGCTGCAGACAGCTTCACAGTGCTGTGCTTAACCCCTTGCGCACCCAAGGAGGTCCTCCTCATTTCTTTTAGAATCTTGACTCAAACATGGTTGAACCTTCCTTAACCACTGTTTTACATTGTAACCCAGCTCACAACACTCTTTTCCTTGGTTTTTCTCCATAACCTTGTTCAATAGCATTAATGTGTTTTACTCATTTACTGTGTGTCTTCCCACCAAAACATAAGTAAGGCCCATGAGAGCAGGATTCTGTCTGTTGTGAGTTGCTGTGTCCCCAGTGTGTAGAACAGTGCATGGTCCATAGTGAGAATGCAATAAATAATTTTTTGAATGAAAACCTGAGCAGTCATAAAAATGAAGAAAGCTGAAGCTCAAGTGTAAAATAACTTGGGTTTAAATTTTGATTCTAGAACTAACTAGCCAAGACAAACTGGAAACTTCTCTGAGCCTGTTTCCTCATTTGTGAAGTGGAGATCCCTACTTTATAGGGTTGTTAAGAGGATTAAAAGATAAAACAGTTTAAGTCTTCAGCACAGATTCTCAAAACAAGTGAGCTAATATGAACATTCTCAGTTGTCTATCAAAAGAGGGCTGCCACAGCCAAGTGTGATGGTCCCTTTGCTGGCCTGGTGGTACCAAGTGGCACTGCCTGTTCCTCCTTCCCCTTGACTGCTGAGAACTGAAGTAGATGAAATCAATTTTTTCTGTCTCTTCCCTGAGCCTCTGAAGCCACCCCCTACACACCACTCCACCCCCCGCAGCCCACCCAGATGCTTATTCCATCTCTTCCCTATTCCATTCTAAGGCCTCGCAATTCAGCTGCTCATTTCAGCTGAGAAGCTAAGTGTACTTCAGTGGGTTAGCTTGCATGGATTAGGAAGAATTTGCACATTTGAGTGAATCTGGAACATGGAGGAGACTTGCAATGTAGTTCCCCCCCCCCGCCCCCCGGATAAATAAATTATTTATTGCATTCTCACTATGTACCATGCACTGATCTACACACTAAGGACACAGCAACTCACAACCTCCCAACTCTCTGCCCTCATCACTTCCCTTTTCTCTACAAACCACAGTATCCCAGGTCATCTCTCAAGGAGATGAAGGTTTGATACTGACTTGGCCACTCATGCAACTTGACCAGTGGTCTTAGCCATGGGTTTATTACTACTACTTCTTTCCCTCTGTGCCAGACTGTCTGGTCCTCTTTGGTAACATGTGTTTGCCCTGGTATTAGAATTCTTTATTTGATTTATCTAATAAAATGTTTCTTATTCCATCTTGGATGCTGGTATAGGTCTAGAACTCTACATAGTAGAAGGAACAAAACCTGGGTTCATTTACCAGCTTGAGGCCCTGGATCCAGAAGACACAAGCCAAAACATACCCCTCAGTGTAAGTCTGCTGGTTAAACTCTGTAAGGGCTTGCTCACTTTGACATAGGAGCCTAGAGTCTGGGTTTGGCAGTGGCAATGGGAGAAATACACTGTCCACTCCCAAAACATGGGATACAGGGGAAGTTAGAATGGTCTGGCAGCTCTGGAGACAGAGACCTAAGCTTTTGTGATCTTGGACCCATTTTTAACCTCTCTGAGTTTCCATTTCTTCATCTGTGAAATGGAAGAAAAGTCGGAGGAGAGTGGGTTGTATTAGAAAATCATATAGAACCAGTTAGCACATGCCTGACATTGAAATTGCACATGCTCAGTAGTCACAGGTGCCCATGGCTGATGGCTACTGTGTTGAGCCCAGGTTTGGGTCTAGCATTAGCTCCCCCTCCCAGTGCACCTTCTGTGTTGTGATGGGGTGTGGTTGGAGCATGTGCAGAGGCATGTGTTAATAGTGGGCTCAGAATATAAAGAGGCACAGGAGGGTCTGTATGTGAACAATTATTTTTGCTGACATTTCTTCTCTGGCCGCCTTCTTTCTGCTCTTTCTCCACCCCTGAAGGAGGCTCTGTGAGACACCCCCCAACTCCCACACTCCCTTCTCCCCCTCTGCTTGGAAATGGCCACCGTGACTGCAGCAAAGCCTCCTTGGAGACTCTCAGGACGTTAATCAGTTTCGCAGCTGGAGGCAAAGTGATCTAGCGCAGCAATTCCTCCATTAGGGGCTTTCTCTTGGCCTTTCCATGAGGGAAGGACTTTTGCATAAAGTGAAATGTGCTTTGTCTTCACCAAGGCAGACAAAGGATTAAATTAAAAGAGCAATAACCTTGCTACTAGCTGGGTTACCAAGAGAGCAACAGGGGGAGTAATTCTCACCCTGCCTCTGTTTGGCTCCTGGTTCTGAGAAGCGGCAGCTAGTTGTGCCTTTCAGTCTCCTGGGAAGCCAAGCCTGGCCTTAGCAAGACTTCTGGCTGGGTGGGTCTTTTCATGTCCTTTGAGCAGCCCCCTTCAATTACAGAAGGAACAGAGGCCCTGGTTTGGGCCAGGAAACGCCAGTGAGATCCCAGGTATTCTGACCCAACTCCTGCTCAACCCCTTCTAAGCTGTTCTGGCAAATTCTGTTTTTGGTGTCCTGTCCCATTTCTTTCCTGAGTGGCAGCACCTTTCCTGTATCCTGCACTCCCCTCCCCCCATTTGGTATCCCCACCCCACCCCCACCCCCAGGCATTTGCCCCACCTCTCAACTCAGAAGTCACCACTGGAAGTCTTTGCAAAATGCTTTCAAGTTCTTATTAAAATGCTCATGAAAGGAAAAAGCATTTTGGACAATTCCCACTTCAAGCACATCACCACTGGAAACTGTTCATATGTTAAGAGAGACACTTTCTTGAATAGATGGGGAGTCATTGTCCTTGAGATTAGTGAAGCCTGAATCAAAGAATAGGACCCAGCACCTACCAAGGCTGATCATAGAAAAAGACAAAATTTGAGGGGATAGGACCTGCAGCTTCATCAGTGAAGGATTACACATCTCTAGCATTTTGCATTTATAAATGCGACTCTTCTTAAAAACATTCAAATGCTTTTAACCCACTTAGTTCACCCTCACAATAGCACACCACAAGCAAAGCCAAGTTCAGGGCATGCAATAGCTGATATTTTATGGTAACTTCTTTCCTTCTTCCCACTTACTTCCCTCCCCCTCAGCTCCTCACCTCTGAGCTGGGATTGGGTAGAATAGGAAAAAAAAGAGGAAATGAAGCTTTTAGAAAGCATTCTGTTTAAATTGAAAGAAATATAGCAGGAATGTGGCACTGCATCTGTAACTTGGCTCTGGCCAGGTTGGAAGATGATGTCCTCTGTGGTCGTCCTTCTGGGTGGGTCTGGGGGCCATACTCAGAGGCACTCCCGGGTAAGAGAGGAATGAGGGGCCTTCCCTCCCTCCTGAATGTTGGCTGGGTGGCCTGGAAACTTCCCAGAACTGCTCTGATCTGAGACTGAATTCTTGCTGCCAGATTCCATCACAGGCCTGAAAGCCACTGATGGCTGCAGACCCGTGCAGGTTGGCTCGTTATTCATCAGCCTGTGACTCCAACTGCAGAGAAGGAACTGCGGGAGGTGGTGGGCCATCCCCAGGGAGCCTGACATTTCTGGAAACTGGGCTGGCTCCTTCTCACCTCCTTTCTGCCTATCCCAGTGGCAAGAGAAAGGGTGAAGGGGGCAGGGAGCACAGGCTCGTTGTCTTTCACGCTGAAGCTTTTGTGTCCATGAGCAAGCTGCCATGGACTGCATAGCTGCCAAGGGGCTGCAAATGGAGAAACCTGGGGTGGCGGTAAAGGAATATTCCCAGCAGGGAAACTGGAGAGCTTGTCTGACACGCATTTGTTAACCGAATTGATCTGATTACTCAGGACTTTTCTTAGCCAGTACTGGAGCAGAGAGGGGCTGCAGTTGCTTTTCATTCTATTTAATTTCTGTTTTCCAAGAATGAATATCAAGGGAGCAGCTTTGATTAAACAAGCCTTTAAAAAGGGGAGAGAATGCCAGGTTTTACAGAAAGCTTTACTGAGTCGCTGGCAAATGGCCACATGACACAATATTTTTAGTCTATGGATATTATCTCCTTTCTAAGTACAAAACTGTAATTCCCATTAACATGAGCTCGCAGGTTCAGGGATAAAGGAAATTAGTCCAGTGCTAAAAGAAAAAAGTCAGGATTCCAGTAAATCAACCTCTTAGTGGAAATTAAAAGAAAATTCCCATATTCCTATTTCTACTCTTCTTCACCTTTTTAATCTGCTGCCCTTTGTCTTTTCTTCTTGCTGAGATTCTAGGCAGAACAGAATATTTCACAACCAAGTCTAGCATTACCAAACTAAAACAGTTTTAAAAAGGTATTTGGCAAGATGTTTTGTTGTTATTGGTGCTTTTTTGTTTTGTTTTTATGTTTCCTTAGGGTGAGAATGCTGGTTTTGCTCAGGTAGGAAATGAAGAAGAAGTGAACTTCAATCTGTAACATTAACAGTTACTGAGCATCTATTATGTATTAGGCACTAGAATATAGCAGTGAATCAAATGAAGTCCTTTACCTCATGGGTCTTACATTCTAACCAGATGGTACTAGTTAACATGTGTTGAGAGTCTACCATGTGCTAGGCACTGTTCTAGACTTCACATGATAACCCACAGGTTTACCCTATTATTATTACTCTTTGTTGAACAAACTCTCACAACTGGAAAGGTGGAACCAATATTCATCTTTGGCAGTCTGGCTCCAGAGCTACCACTCTGAACTCAGTGCCCCCTGTTCTTGACTCATATTCCAGATAGGTCTAAGAGTCCTTCCTTCCCTATTCCATCATGTCCTATATTTATCCCTCATGGAACACCTCACCCACATCTTTGTACATCCCTTTAGTTGACCATAAGCTTTTGGAGAGCAGGCTTATCTGTCATCTCCATATCCCAAGACCTTGTGCTGGTTGGGATCAACCAGAACTTGAGGCCCATCTCATAGAAGTAAGCATTTCAGAACACATGTGGAAAGGCAACCAACTAAGCTGCATGCAGTAAATGATCCTCATGGGTCTCCAAAACCTGCCATTTCATGATATCCCACATAGGCCTGGGATGGAAGGATACATGAGGATTTCTGCCAAGAAGACTGCCCAAAGACTCAGAGCTGCTCCCCCTACAGGCACCTGCAGGCCTAGCCCTGCCGTCCAGGCAGTGAGCTGGAGATTTGGTGGGGACTTGGAATTTAAACATGCCTTCACGTATTGCCAAGGCACTTATAAAATTTGGGAGATTGGGTAAAGAATGTTTCTTGGTATTGCCCAAGTTTTTCCTCTTACAAGTGGGTAGACTTACTAAGAAAGACTTAGTAAAATAAATCCCGAAAGTAGAATGTTGGACCATCATTAACCACCAGGTTGTAAAATTAGATTTAAGAATATGAGGAAATGTTTAAACTATAAATGAGATGAGCAAGACATTATCATTTTGATTAGAACATCTCAGTTTTGGGGGAGGGTATTTTTAAAGAAAAGAGCAGAAGGTTATTCATGAAAATGATAAGCTTTTACAGGTGACTAATACTGAGTTTCTTTTTTATACTTTTCTGTCTTTCCCAATTTTGGTATAAAAATATGTTCATTACATCTCAAAAAATGTTATTAGAAATAAATGGGAAGTAAGAACTATAAAATGGTTTTAAAACCTTATATTGGCCCCAAAGGAGACCTTTGATCTATTTTCTGTGTACTTTCTCTTCTATAGGCAGCTCAGCTGTGCTCATAACATAGCAAATGTCTGGGTTGCAAACCTTGGTTGGCATTTCCTTTGATTCTAGACTTCAGGAATTGTGGCTCTGGTTGCAAAACCTCCACCGATTATCTGATCCAAAGATCTGAGGCCACGATGATAGGCCATCCCTCATCCTAGCGGGAAATAATGAAACCTTCTAACCTCAGAGTCCTTTGGAACAAATGTATATGAACATGGAAGCCTCTAGAGTTGCTGTAGCCCTTCACACTTTACAGCATGCATTATCATTTAATCCTCACAGTAACAAGGAGGAGTAGTTGGTGATATCATCTCTAAATTACAGGCAAGGATGGAACTTGTCCCAGATCCTATGCTGAGAACCAGAACTTGAACCCAGCTCTTCTGATCCAAAGCCTTCACCTGCTTCATTGATTCATGGGAGTAAGGAAGCAATCTTAATGCACACCCGTGGAGGCCCCAGGGCTGGTCCTCTTATGGACTGGCCCTTCGTGCGCTGTGTAGATTAGCCTATGTGCTCCTGTCCAAGCAAGTGGTCCTGGGCAAGGGGCCATCAAAAGCTGGTCTGGGACTGGGAGCCAAGGAGGAAGACTCTGAGTTGTCAAGACCTGGGAAGACTTAACCGGTAGTCACAACCTGAGACCAGATTTAATAGCAGATTTTCTATATCCCCCAATCAGTTTTTGTTGTGACAGGAATGCAATGAGAGACACAGCATTCATGGAACAGGTTTGCAAGGCAAGACTCTGCTGCTTGAGCAAAAGTTCTTGCACCATTTATTGAAATCATACAGGCTAGTAAAAGCTGATCATGCAACAATGGTAAGAGGAATAAGGTATAGAGGGTGGGATAGGAATGAGGGACAGTTTCACAAGGGACAGGGAAGGGGACATCGCGACCATATGTCAAAAGGCATTTGTGTCAGCAAAGTATATGATGTTATCACAGACAGAGTTATCCCAAGACCACTATGGAGATAGTCATGTAATCAGGTCAACAGCAGGCTAGGCGTCCCCAGGCCTGCCTCATGATACGGGCTATACTCCATAGGTAGTCAAGGAATGTTCTGCTGTGATTTACAGATAGCAAGTAGGTCACAATTGCCCATGAGTGCCAGCTAGTAGCCAGTTCATAAGAACCCACAAGTTTTCAACATGGTCCTGAGTCCCTGCTATGTCTTACTCTCTGACATGCATTCCATGTCATTCCCTGCTTTTCCTTTACATCATTTTAATGAATGATATTTAGGAACACATTGCACCCACTATATCTTAAGTTCTTTTAAGGATAGAGACCAGATCTTATTTACTTTAGTATCATCCTATTACTAATGTATAGTAGCTGTGTGTCTTGATTAAAGTCAAGATAGAATCAAAGCCAGAAGTTGTCTGGGAAGTAGAAGTGAGAAAATAGTGACAGGAGGGGGAGATTGGCCTCAGAAGGAGGATGCCTAAGGAGGGGGTTTATAATTGCAGCAGGTCTGATGATCACCTTCTCGGGATTAGCCAAACAGGGTCAGGGCCTCAGATCAACAGATCCAGAAGTTTCTTGATTCAAGATCCAGGAAGTCTAAGAACTGCCAATTTTGGCCTCATTCTCATGCATCAAGCATGTTTCATGTGTTGAGAATATAAAATGTGAACTGAACAAACTCATCTTGCCTTCATAGGTGTGCTTAGTTACATTCCTTTTTTTTTCCTCATTTTTTTAGTATTTCCTAATTTCTCCCCCGAAGAGCTTCAGATTATCTGCTAATGGCACCCTTATCTCCACAATGGAATTTGACTTTGAAGCAGGACACAGAAGGTAGCCTTTGCTAATGAACTTGCTTGACGTATAGTTTATCTGAGGGTCAAGGACAACATAAAGGAGTAGGTATGGTGCATCCTGAGGCAGCTGGGGAAGCCATGAATTGTTGGCTTCCATATTGCTGAATTTAGGGAGTAGATTTCCTCCAAAGAGGAATAGGGAATAAGACAATTATCTGGAAGACCTCCTTTGCTGTCCAAAAATCTTCATTTCCACAGATAACAAGAGCAGAGGTGTGAGGGAGGGCTCTCAGAGCATGTAGAGGATTGCCTCAGATGCCAACCTGGCTTGGAGAGGCAGCCTTCAGAGCTGACGCCAACATTAAAGCAGCAGGGTGCAGGCGAACAGGTCTCTGAGGAACCCACATGAGGAGAGGCCAGATGTCTGGGTGACAAAGCATAAGGCTTGTTGTCAACACAGGTTTGGCTCCTATGAGAACCAGGGCTCATTACTTACACTACAGGAGCCTCGGTTTCCTCACAGGGGTGTAATAACGGGGGTCCTGGTAGGAACAGCAGAGATAGAGCAATACATAGCAGGCATGAACTGCACTCCATTAGATGGTATCTAGAAAATAACTCTAGGTTGAAAAGTAGAGGAGTGGGTTTTGAGAGGTGGGGAAAGGAGAGTGGAAAAGCAAGTGTGACTCCACAGAGTAAAGGATGGGGGTGACCAGAAATGGGACAGACTCTTTCCTCCTTCCACCTACCCTGCTTTGATTCTCTCACTTGGGATGTTTCCTCACAGTTACTGTCTCCTCATGGAAGTGAGAGATAGCCTAGGGCTCAAAGCCGCCACAGAACTCCAGGTGCACATCGTGAACATCAATGATGAAACCCCTCGCTTTACCAGGTAGGTGCCCTCAGCCATGCACCCCTCTCTTAGGTGACTGAGCTCTCAGACACTTTTAGTACAAGGCAGAGGGATGACCTGGAGCAGAGGCAAGAGACCTGAGATTTTCAGTGCTCTTTATCTGGATCTCTGGACTTCCATCCCCAACTCTGGCTCCCCATGCCTACTGCACCCCCATATTCACATGCATGATGAGATTGTGGATGTGGTGGGAAGGGGTGTGAGCTGATACCCCAGTGTGCAGCTTGCATGGAAGGTAAATAGAAGGCAGATGCTTCTATAATAAGGTGTTCAACAGCAAGAGTAGATTTCTAGTGCACACTTCATTAGTCAAGACTCCATAAAGCACTTCTATTATCAGCCTTACTCTGAGCTAGCACTTTTCTTGGTGCCTAAGGGGCTGCCCACCGCCAGGTGCCTAAAGTGTCTTCCTGGTGTGGTGGATCCAGAAAAGAGCCACCTGGTTGCATATGGAAGCTCATATGCCCAGCAGAGGTGAGGAACAAAAGTCAACCTGGTGGGAGTGGGCCTGGCAGCAGCCCGGGCACAAAGGGGAAACCTGAGCCTATCAAAGATAGGGACTTTGGAGGGGACAGTGAGGTCTTGATTTAGCAAATAACCCTGCAAACAGCTTGGCTCACTGACTCACTGCCTGCTCCAGTCACTGAGGGGGCTTAGAAGCCAGCTACAAGGAAACTGGTAAAATCGCCTACCTGGGGGTTAGCTGCATTAATGGCTGCAAATAAATTCAGCTCAGGAGGCTCTATCACCAACAAAAAACTACACAGAATGCTTGCCAAAGTACTCAGAGATTGGGAGGTGTTGAGGCCACCACATTCCCAGACTAACCTGGTGCCGTTGGGCAAAGCACACTATCATTGTGTGTGTCAGTGTGGAGAAATGCACTGCGTCATCCTTCTGAGCAGAACCTGTGCATTTCTGCTGATGGATCCCTGCAGGAGTACGGTCCAGGCAGTTTATAAATAGTTGTGACATCCCAGCCTGGATTCAGACTCAAGTATTGGCCTGCACAGCACTGCAGACTCATTAGTAATCCCCAAAGGAAGGTGATGGTTGTGGCGCTGGAGTTGATGCAAAGTCCTCCCAACCTCCACCCTCTGTTTGTGAGGCTGGAAGCAGGTTTATGGGATTGAAAAGAGAAAAATAAGTTCTCCCAAGGAACATAACTTGGGAGCATAGCCGGTTTAGACTAAATCTTCTAAAATAAAGCTACTGACCTCAACAGAGAAAGAACATGACCCTGGCCAGTTGTTGGAGTCCCCAGAGGTAGGTCTGGAACTCTGGTTCTCATTATTGGTTTGAGAAATAAGCCTGTTAGGCTCATCCCACAGGGAATGACCTTTGTGATGGTCTAACCATTTTTAAAAACCAGTTGACCTTATTCTGTGTTCCGTGGATATTGGTAGGGATGGGTCTGCAAGAGCCTGGGCTTAGACTAGAAGGAGGGCGTGGGGCAGGATGGCTGCCCTGATTTTGCCGAGGCTGCCCAATTAGAGTCAGCCTAGTCCCTCACTCACCCACTATTTGAAAATGTCTTTGTTTTTAAACAGGGCTTTTGTGGTTCCCTTGAACCATGATCCTCCTCCCCCAAACCAGTGCTAAGGCTAACCAGAAGTTATTTAATTCAGGACTGGCAAAATTGGAGACTCAAACTGACTCAGTTATACTGAACTTGAACTAAATAAGATGTAGAAACAGCTCTCTTTTTGCTATTTGTTCAGCTCCTACAATTAATATAACCAAAGCAATTATTTCTGTTGTTGCAAATGTCTCATCATTTTATCCCTGGTCGTGACAAACATCTGAGTGCTTTGTGGACTTGATGTGTCCACATCTAGGATTCTGATATTGTTAAAACTGAGCTTTTCTTATAAAAGTACCTGCCTCACTGTCTGCAGTCATAGTGCTTGCTGTTTTTGCAGGGCACTTATTTTAGTGCTGGGCAGAGAGGTCTTGCACTCCTCTTGCCCATTTATTTTGTATTTCCTCACCATCCTTTTCAGCTTGGCACCTGGAAGTGTAGACAAACCTTATGCACTTTCTGAACAGTCGCCCAAGATTCACACCCTTTCCCCTGAGTGTGGCCACTGGTCCTTGTCTACTTCTCACCCAGGCTCTGTGACCTTGTGTCACGGGGAGAAGGGTGGAGTCATGTAAGTGGTATTAAAGCTTTACACTCTTGGAGTGGTTGTACAGCCCTTGGCTTCATTGTGCTTTGAATAGATCTTTTGTTTTTTTAAAGTAGAATTTAAAAATATATACACATACATTTTTTGTGTAGAAGAACTGGAGTGTAGGTCAGAGGATTCACCAGAGACAGAGTGGGGAGCAGAACAGGAGGATCTACTGAAATACACTGCTGAGGGGAGCAGTGGGCGAGACAGGAGAGGTCTGCTGTGCCATGTGGGTCAGCTCCCTGGCCAGGGATTGAACTCAGGTCACAGAGATGATAGCGCTGAAGCATAACTCCTAGGCCACCAGGGAGACCTTGCTTTGAATGGGTCTTAACTGTCCTTTATTCTGAATGTTATTTTATACACACTTGGTTTTGGATCTCCAAACAAAATAAGTCAAATATTTTACCATCTGTCACATTTGATATCAGGTCAGCCGAGGAAGGACTATTTTACGCCAATAGCTTGCCCATCCCCTTCCTGGGGACCTGATTTCCTGGAGTATACAGGTGATAAGAGTGGGTGAGCCTGCAGAGCAGGTGCCTTCAACAGCTGCACTACTGACATTTGAGTGGGATGCTTCCTTGTGTTGGGTGGGGGAGGGCTTTTGTGTGCATTGTAGAGTGTTTAGTAGCAGCTCTGGCCTTTAGATGCCAACAATAACTCCTCCCCTGGCAGTGAGAGCCAAAAATGTCTCCAGGACATAATCGTCCCCAGCTGAGAACCACTGCCTTAGAAGGATTCCTTAGAATAGCTCTCAAACTTTAAAGTACATACAAATCCCCTGACATCTTGTGAAAATGCAGATCCTGATTCTGGAGTGGATCTGAGTTCTGCATTCAGATTCAACATCCAGGGAACCTGTTAGAAATGTAGTGACCACACCTGGAGTAGCAAGGGCAGTCCTGAAGGTGGCATGGGCATGTTAGTGCTCTCTTTGTTGGAAGGTAACAGAACCCACTGAAAGTAACCAAAGAAATAATATAACCTGCTAGAACAGGACCTTTTACCCATGGACATAAGGGCTTAGTTCAGCCTTAGGAGCCGCTCCCTTTCTCCTATGGCTCTGCTTTGGCTCTTGCCACCCCTGCCTCCTTTGCCCTGCCCACTTTTCTCTTCCTGGACCCATCAGTGGCCAGCAGCACAGATTCCCCTAGGAGAGGTGTGTCAGGTTGATAAATGGATTCACTGCCAATTCAGTGAGATGCTTGGTGGGAAGAGACATAGAGCATTAGGGTAGCCTGTTGCATCACCAAAATGACTGCCCCCCAACAATGGGATGCACCTACAGGCAGACCACATCATGAATGGGGCCAGACTGGGGAGTCAGGGAGGAGGTCCTGGAACCAGGGACTCTGGTTCTACTCAGAGGTTCCCTCTTCCTTCTTCTGGCCCTACCTGCCCTACAGGGATGATGCAAAGCATTCCTGGTTGTAAAAGTATTCTGAACTCATGCGTTAAATATAGTCATTTAGATTTATGGTATAGTAATCCCTCTTAAAGCAGATCCCATCTTGAAAAATCCAAACTTAGGGATCTCCCTGGTGGTGCAAGGGGTTGGGCATAGCACTGTGAAGCTGTCCGCAGCCTCTGCAGTACAAGTTGGATTCCCAGCCAGCCGGGTAGCTGCCCACGTGGCGCAGCAGACCTTTCTGTCTCACCCACTGCTCCCCTCAGCAGTGTACTTCGATCAATTTGCCTGTTCTGCTCCCTACTCTGTCTCTGGTGAATCCCCTCACCAGCCCCCCTCCTGCACCTCTGGCCTACACCCCAGCTCTTGTATGTATAAATAGATACATCTTTTTTTAAAAATCCAAACTTAGAAACTGGTAGATTCAAGGTGACTACTTGTCCCACTGATAACCTTAGCAAAAGGATTTCCTGCAGTTATTTTAAACAATTAGTCTCCTTGGTACATTCACAATTACTCAATTTACCCAAATTATGTAGTTAAAACTTTGCAACTATCTCTTATTATCAGCCTTTTCCAAAGGCAGAGGAGGTCTGAGAAAGATGGGCAAGCTGGTGACTTGGAGTCACCTTGAGGGAAGCCCTCCTTGGAGGACAGTGTGCTGACTGTGGCTTTTGCCAAAGGGGAGATTTCTCCATTTAGGTGTTGACCTATGATAATGCAATGTGGGAAGGTGCACAATTTCTGCACATAAATTGTGCATTCTCAGGCCAGAAAGAGGAGAAGGAAGGAAAAGTGAGCAGAGGCACTAGAATAAATGCAATTTATCTAGGTCTGGTGGTGGTCAAGGGATAGTGATCAAGAATCTATAGTCCTGGACATTGTGTCCAGATGGATTTTTAAAATAACTCTGGGAACTTTCACAAAAGTATTGGGAGGAGAGAAGAGGGCTACATAGGTCAGCTTTCCTTATTTTAAAAGATGTTCATGCCACAGCTGACCTGAAATGGTATCGGTGTGCATGGAGTCAGAGCCAGTGGTCAATGTAAATTGTTGCAGTAATGGCAAGGCACTCTCTTTGCAACCACAGGGATGTGATTTTTGGAAATACAGAATCCAGTCACCCCTCCTTTGAACTGAGGAGTTCTCTCTCCCAGCATGTTGTAACTTCGACAGTTCAGAGCTATATTTAGCACTAACCAAAATACCTACCTCCCAGACTCCACCCTCATGTGCCCACGAAAATTAGCTGTGTCTGCTGTATTTCTGTTCCAGCCCAAAGCGCGTGTACAAGATTCCCGAGGAGCTGAGTCCAGGAACCATTGTAGCCAATATCACAGCTGAGGACCCGGATGATAAAGCTTTTACCAACATCCTCCTCTACAGCATCACTACTGTTAACAGATACTTCATGATCAATCAGAGTAAGTCACTCACACACACACACACACACACACACACACCCTTTATGTGCATCCTTTAATTCATTTAGACTGCTTTACAAATATTTTAATAGTTTCATGGTCTGGGCATGCCCTTCTGCCTGGAGCATTGTAGTTCCCAGGGAAATAGTCATATTAAAAGCAGCTGGCATGGGGATTGGGCATACTGACCAGGTTCCAGTGTGGACAGCTGTATCATCCTTTGCCTTTAAAGCAGATGGGTATGTAAGGATGGATGAGTTCACTGTTCTGAGGGCATCCCAAGTCTTCTGCAGAGTGTACTGTCTAGTAGAAATAGAATGCAGTCACATATGTGATTTTAAAGTCTCTAGTAGCTAAGTTTTTACAAAGTAGAAACAGGTGAAATTAATTTTAATAAGGCACTTTATTGAACCCAACATACCCCAAAATTATATTACCCTGTAATCAACATTTATTAATGAGATATTTTACATTTTTTGTACATTTTCAAGGTTGTGTATTTTGTACTTACTGCACATTTAAATTCAGATCTGCCATATTTCAAGAGTTAATAGCCTCATATGGTTAGTGGTTATGGTTCTGAAGAGCATTGATCTAGATCAATCTGCTGGATTGCTGGGTGTTATCTTTCCATCTGAGTATCACAGTGTAGGGAAGGAGAGTTTCTCCTTCCTATCATAATCACATCTTATTAGGTTTTCAGTATAGGTGGGGCACTATGCTCAATGGCTCACATGCATTCCCTCTAAACTTAGCACAGCAACCCAATGAACTACCATAATTCACACTGTGCAGATGAGGAAACTGAGGCTTGGAGAGAAATTCGACAGGGTAAGTGACTTATCAAAGGTCTTACAATTCAGAGGTTATGAAGCAAAGTTACTTAACTGGAGCCAGTCAACTCCAGAACCTGCCCTCTTCTCTCCTAGACTGTACCATCTCGTAATTCTCTATCATTTCACCAAAGAGGACTTCGCCCTACACAGTGCTTGAGTGGGGTCTAGCCTTGGGCAGTCCCTGAAAGACAGCATGTTATTGGCCCCATAGGCTTTCAGGTAAAGGACACCTCTTCCCAAGAGGGTTAGGCAAAGGCAGTCATGATGCTCTGCCTCTGAAAACTTCCTAGTGCTTTGTCATTGAGGACCCACCCAGCTGATAGGGTAGGGGTGGACAGCCATGGTTTGGAATTCTCTTCACTCCAGTATTGCAAATTGAAATTTTAACAAATACAGTGGGTTTTGGGGAGCAAATTGACTAAGACTTTTTGGTTGCACATTACAGAAACCAAGACAAGCTAAACCAAGAGGAAAATAAAAGGTAGCAGATACCTACCAACAGGCTACTGGTATCTCATGAGAAGGGGTAGAGCAGTTAGGGCTGTTCTCATGGTGGGGAACTAGCACTGCTCCAATGACTTCAACCTTGCCTGTGGGAGCTCTGCTGTTACACTCCCCGGTGAGAGAGCCCAGTGGGTCAAGATGGGGTAAACTGACTACAATCCATTCAGCTAATGACAAGGGCTGCTGCCAGGGACCCAACCCTGAAAGTTGTGGTGGAAAATTCTAGAAAGGTCAGGCCAAACACTCTAATCAATGTATAGTACAAGAACTTCCATGATTTTTTTTTAAGATTTATTTATTTTTCCATAAAAGAACTGGGATATAGACCAGAGGTGCAAGAGGTGAGAGGACTAACTAGAGACAGAGTGGGGAGCAGAACAGGCAGATTCACTGAAATACACTGCTGAGGGAAGCAGCAGGCGACACAGGAGAGGTCTGCTGTGCCATGTGGGTCACCTCTCTGGCCGAGGATGGCACTCATGCTGTAGAGGTGATAGCACTGAGACTTAACCTAAAGGCCACCAGGGAGGCCCCCAACTTCCATAAACATTTTTAAAAATGTGTTTTTATAGAGGAAATTCTCTGTTAGCCAGCTTCACACCACAGTGTGCTTTCCCATCTACTCCAAGTCTCCAGCTACCTTGATTTTTCATTTCTCTTCAAAGAATCATGTTCTAACCTTTGTCTTCTTAGTAACTGGTACCATCCACGTGGCTCACAGGCTAGACCGAGATGCAGGAGAATTAAGACAACATCCAGCCATTATCTTGGAAGTTCTGGTGAAGGATAGACCCTTTGGAGGTCAGGAGAATCGTATACAGATAACCTTCCTTGTAGAAGACATCAACGACAACCCTGCTGCTTGCTCCAAGTTCACGTTCAGGTATTCACATTCTGAGACCGTGCGGAGAATTTCACCACTTTGGTGGCCCTCGACCCTGTAGCTTCTCCGGAATATTTCTGGGAGGAACTGAAAAATAATGAGCATTTGGAGAAATGGCTCACTAAAATAAGGAGGCTGGAACTGTCTGATTTAATGGATAGGTTTTCATTGAATCATCCTTTTTTCTTCCCTGTCTTTTTCATTTTCTTTCTTCTTCAATGTCATCTCCAGCTTCCTACTCAGTTAAAAAATATTTTTCATTTTACTCCTTTCTATAACATGTTCATCTCTGTTGGTGAAAAGGACCAAAGGGACTTGTTAGACCCTCTCTGGGCTGTACCTTTTCTTTATTTATTGCCACCAGTGGCAAGACAGTGCTGTTAGTTAGCAGTTATAATAGATGCTTGAGACTTAGGATTAGTAACTAGGAGCTCCCAGAGAAACACTCCACCAGTAATATGAATAAATCAAACCAAGTATTTACTTAAAACAAAACAAAGCATCTAATTCACCTTACCCAACTGAATTGCATGTGAACAAAAGGCAACAAAACGTAGATACAAGTGGAATGCAAGTTATCTTGTACATTTTGACCTGCTCTTTGTCTTACAATCTATTCACTGTAATTATAAAATAAAGTCTTTTGCGATTCTAGGCTCATACGCCTTTTTAAAAATCATTACTGCCCTTCTACTAACAATTTTCTCTAAATGCTACCAAGTTAGTAATTCCCAGGTTAGTTTTAATCTGTGGTTTCATAATAGCTAGTCTCCAGTTTCCTGGGAGTTTGAAGGGGGTTCCTCCTGGGGGCGGGAGATCGCCTTGCAGGGACTCTTGCCGAGAGAGCCCTGGAGAGCATCTGGAGTGCAGCTGAAGCCCAGAGAAAGTGTCACCTTCACCTGTCCCCGTGGAGAGAGTCACATTGTAAGTTTATCTTTGATTGGATTTGCACTGACTTTTGGTGACTTTGGATCCAGTAGCAATACTTGTATGGCCTTGCAAAGGACAAAGGACCCTAGATAAAGATTGTCCACGGTAAGCAATAGAAATAGAAATTTATTTATGCTTAAAAATGTTTCCCTATTCTCCCAGCATGATGCTGAGAATAAGTGTGGCCTGGAATCTGACAGTTAAACCCAGTCTGGACACAACCTCTTGCCCCTTTAGACCATCCTCCAGCCTCCTGTATCCTGCACTGGGTCCCAGGAGACTGTGAGAACACCAGCCACTTCCCTACCCTGCAGCATCCAGTTAGCCTATGGGAAGCCCTAGAAGGAGCAGGGGAGCATGATGTAGGGTATTTAGCCCTCTGGGGTTCCTTTCAGCTGGATGTGTCCTCCACCTCTTGAAGGTCTCAGATCCTATGAGGCAAACCTCAACACACAGTACTTTCTGTCCTAGTGTTCCGTTCCAGAAACTGCTCCTTCTACTGACTCCTCCAGGCCCAGATTGTAAGGCATTTCATTTTTCCTTACCTGAGGCATTTCAATATACCCTGTGTACACCTTTGTGATAGTTACTTTACCTCCTAGAATTATCCTAATTTGACAGCTGCTTCCCTGTGAGGCCCTGATATAGTCAATAACACCCTTGACCATGTATTAACTTCTTATCCCAACTATAAGCATTCATGCCCTCAAAATCTGTTTGAGGGTTGGGGGGGGGGGTAATTGCTGTGGGGAGTTAGGATGGTGACTTCCCCGCCATTTACTTCCCTGTGAAGTGAGTTGTGGGCCCTGGGAATGGAGCAGAGATGATGTGTAGAGCTATGCCTCTGCTTTCTTTGAAAATCTCAAACTATGCTAGCTCTCTTGGGTGGCTTCAGGCACCTGGGGAATTCCCATCTTTATGTTCTTTCCTCGTAGGCACCCCCTGCTCTTTCTGAGAGGTGGGAGATGAGAGTAAGAACTGAGAAGGACTCCAGGTGTGAATGACTGGAAAGGACGATGCTGGCCAGCCTGACTTGTCAGTTTTCTTCACTTTGGTGCATTCTGTAAAGTGCATTTTGTGGCTCCTGCAGTCCAGAGACCCCTGATGTGTGCAGTGACAGCTCACAGGCTGTACTCCGTATCAGCTGGCAAAAACACATTTTAAATGTCCTGGAAGGTCTAGGCAAGCCCATGCAGAGTCCTACTCTTGCTAATCTTTCTGAATTAGCTCTGAAGGTCAATGCTAGCCAGTAACTGGATTAATTGTATTTATTACTAAAGGGAACTCTAAACACTTAAGTCCTTCCTCTGGACTTTTCCAGAGAGTAACTCACAGTCATCCTTTTAAAGCAAAGCTATGAGGAGCTGCAATAAAAGGACTCCTTCTCCTCAGAGGTGGAAATGGAGGTCTTTACTCCAGAAATCCAGCATCGTCTGTATATTATAGGGACTGGAAAACACTGATTTGGACCTTACTCACCGTCTTCCCATCCTTAAACTTCCATTCTCATGCCAGACAGGAACCTGCAGGCAGGTCAGAGCAGACCCAAACAACAGAATCTGTGCTGCGTAGTCTTTGGCTGTGCTCTCATGTCTGACTACATTTGTCCTGAGGTCCCTGAGTATTTATTCCTTCTTCAGGGCTCTTGACTTGCTCCCTGCAGCAGGAACCAGCACCCAGTGGGTTGGAGAAGGCAGTAACTGCAGGCTGGGGTTCCCTGGGGCCTCTGCCCCTTGATTTTCCCAGGCTGTGATAAATGAGCCCCTGAGACATCAAAGGTGTGGTGACAGACCCTGCTCTAGTTGTAAATTATGAGGCAGCTCAGCTGAAGGAGCTGTTTGGGAGCCAAAGGCAGAGAAGGTCGCAGATTCAGAATGAGACCAAACCTGTCACCTTTATGTGCATATGAGAGATCTCTGGTCAGATGGCTGGGAGCAGGGCACCTCGCCTTTGAGGCAGGGGTTGATGAATGAGGGGTGGGGGTGGCTTTCCAAGTCACATGTTTAGGGGACAAGTGAAAAGAGCACCCAGGCAGTCCTGAGGGGCCAAGTGTGCAGCAGGCCTTCTTTGCAGTGCGGGAAATGTCTGGCTTCAGGACTCAGGATTCTCTGGATGATGCAACCTCCAAGTTTCTGCAGAAGGCCTAGATCCACAGACTGTTTGCAGGTCTGGAGATTCATGGATGGAGAATCATGCTGGATCCATGAACTTTCTTTGACAGGTGTTGAAACCACTCACAACCATTCTTTCTTTACCAGTAAATTGGGGACAAGGATACAAACTTCTTGGCGTGAAGGTAATTAGAGATAGCATTTTTAAAGTGCTCAGTATGATATAGCATGGAGTTGCTGTTTACTATGTGGTATCTAGTCTAAGTGTGTATGAATAAAAGCTGACATTGTACAATCAAGAGAGGAATGGATCTGCTTGGACTCCAATCCCACTGAAACCCAGAGGTGACCTTTGTCCACAAGGCATTATGGCAATTCAGCAACCAACACCTGTCAGATAAACTTCTTTCCAGGAAGCAAGCCCAACTGTGTTCAGCAGCCCAAGGCCATCGTTGCTGTCAGCCTTTGCTCCATTTTTGCTGACTCCAGAGCCCACTTAACTCCCACTAAGAGATGATGTGGAATGTGGACAGGAACATAATTTGGTTGCAGAGAAAGGACATGTGATAGAGGATTAGAAAATTGACACAGGTTAATCTGAGTGCTCCCAGAACAATATGCAAAGATAGAATTAAATGTGCAAGGCTTTTATTCAGGGAAATAGGAACAGATGGGGAGAGGGCTGGAGAGGCTGGGGAAGTCATAAGACCATGATACCAGACTGGCCAGAGTAAAGAAAAGAGGGATGAAGAGGATGGAAATAATCTAGCCTATCATTTAGTCTACATAAGTTTTCGTAGGGCACTGGAGCCAAAGTCAACTGTCACAGAACAGGAGTGGGTCTGCCTTAGTATCTGCCACACCCAGTCATTTGCATTTAGCCTCATGGCTTCACAGTAGTGGGTTTCAGTACGACAGTGATGGAGCACAGCAGCTGGGTCTATGTCAGTTATGTCCCCATGACTGAAAGTCTTCCAGGCACATACTCGTGGCAGCCACAATACATATTTATAAGAAATTCTGCCCAAGTTAAGCATCACACTATGAAGCAATCTACAGCCTCTGCAGCACGAGTTCGATCCCCGGCCAGCCAGGGAGAACCCCACATGGCGAGGCAAACCTCTCCTGTCTCGCCCGCTGCTCCCCTCAGCAGTGTGTTTCAGTCAATCTACCTGTTTTGATCCCCACTCTGTCTCTGGTGGGTCCTCTCACCCCCAGCATCTCTGGCCTGTGCCCCAGCTCTTATATGCATAAATAAATAAATCTTTAAAATAAAATAAAATCATTAAAAACACTAAAAAAAGAAAGAAAGAAATTAATTCTGCCCAAGGCAAACATTATTGTGGTAGGTAGCAAAAACAAAACAAAATAACCCACAAAACACCAGTTGCAAGTTTTTCTCTGCCTGTGTGCACACCCTTTTGCAATGTGATTTTACTATTCCTCCTATCAAGAGATGGAATGCTCCTTCCACTCCTTGAATCTGAACCTGACCTTGTAAATGACATTGGCCATTGGAACATTCACAAACATGGCACAGCAAAGGCTTAAGAGGTGTGTGTGCATTGGGACTTGGCCTTCTTTTGCTGCTTTTGGAAATCTGAGATCACCATGTGAAGAGACTGGACTAGTCTTTGTAGCGATTTGGAGGATGAGAAACAACGTGAGGCAGAGATGAACATCTTCCCACCAGATTTGTGAGCAAGATCATCCTACACCACCTACCCCCAGACTGGCTGCCAATATCATCTAAGACCATCAGGTTGGACAAGAATCAAAAGAATTCAAGGATAGGCCTCCCCAGTGGCGCAGTGGGTTGAGTGCAGTGCTATGAAGCTGTCTGCAGCCTCTACAGTGCAGGTTCGATTCCTGGCTAGCCAGGGAGATACCCACATGGCGCCGCAGACCTCTCCTGTATTGCCCGCTACTGCCCTCAGCCGTGTATCTCAGTCAGTCTGCCTGTTCTGTTCCCCACTCTGTCTCTGATGAATCCTCTCACCCCCCACACCTCTGGCCTATACCCCAGTTCTTGTATAAATAAAAATAAATCTTTAAAAAAAAGAATTAAAGGATAATCCATAATATTATAAGGGATAATAAATATTTATTCTTTTAAGTCATTAAATTTTGGGCCAGTTTGCTATATAGCAAATACTGGCATGATTTTGGTCCATTTTATAGATGGAAAAACTAAAACCTGGAGACATGATAAAGTCACTCAATGATTTGAAACCCAGAGGTATTAATCATTCTTCCTCAGTCTCCCATGCCAAGTTGGGCTTGACTAGATGGCTCTGAATTTGGGAGCAGTTTTATTCATTTTTGTTACTTTCTTAGAGTCTAGCAAACTAATCTAAGGACCCTTAGATTCAACCTTTAATAAGCTTCTACTGAATGAGTGATATTAAGGTATTAGGAGCACTTTATGACATCAAAACTATCAGGACACACATCAAGAAGTTCCCAATCTTCAGAGCATGAGAGATGGGGAGAGCGGGGTGAGATTTCCCCTGTTCAGATGATAAACAACTACAGGCAGGGGCAGAATTTATATTTCCCTTATATTCTTCTTCACTCCTTTCTCTTATATTCTCCTTCACTCTACCCATTCATTCAACAAATATTTATTGAGCATGCCAAGAGAAAACAGACAAAAATCCCTGTTCTCGTGAGCTTACATTCTAGAGAAAAAAAACAGATGGCAGAGAGGATAACGATATCTGTGTATTATATTGGAAACTAGGTCATATATTGGAAATGTATACTGAAAAATGGTAAATGCTAAGAATTAAAAATAAAGGGGGAGGAAGTCACAGGCAGGGATCATTGACATTTTAAATAGGTAGGCAGAGTAGCCTCCTTGAGAGAGTGACTTTATAAGGGACAAAAGAGTGAAAGAACATGCCATATGGAGATTGGTGGGGAGGTATGATGGCACTGAGGCTCTGGCCTGCTGGGTGACCAAGGAGCACCAGGAGGCCAGGGTGTCGGGGTGGAGTGAAGAAGGAGAGGAGTTAGTAGGATATTGAGGCTGGCAAGGGCCAGGGGGTGGGTTGACGGCACATCACGAAGGGTCCTGGAGATCAAAGTGAGAACATTGAGTGAAGTAAGGAGCCGATTGGGACTTAGGAGCAGAGGAGTGACATGATCTGACAACACTTTTAACAAGATCCCTCTGGCTGCTGCTGTGTTAAGAATAGCCTGACAGGAGGCAAGGGCAGAGCAGGGACTCCAGTTAGGGGGTTACTGCAATAATCTGGGATTTGCTTTGAATTGAAATGAAAGCAGAGGTGTCTAGCTGAAGGCCTGTATTAGAAGGAACACTCCATCACCATTTGTTGGGCAAAATATTGAATCATGTCTCTCGCCAGCATTACAGTCCCCGAAAGAGCAGCCAAGGGGAAGATACTTCTGGAACTGTACAAGTTCTGCTTTGATAATGACAGTGAAGCACCAAACAACCAATTCAACTTCACCATGCCATCTGGAGTGGGGAGCGGCGGCAGATTTTTACAGGATCCAGCTGGCTCTGGGAAAATTGTGGTCAGTTAATGGTCATTGCATCATTGAAAGGGCATGGGGGGAAGCTGGTCTAACATGCATGGTGCTTTTGCTGCCCCATAGAGAGAGATTTCCAAGGTAACTCCTTCTCAGAGTGACTGTAACTGCCCAACTTAATAGTCACTCTGTTTTCCCCATTTGCTCTTTATTTTACCAAGTTCTGGGAATGATTTGTTAAGCATAGTTGTGCCTGGGGTGCTAAGGATGAGATTCTTTCTTGCATAGCTCACAGTTGCATGCCTGTTTCTCCTGCCTCAACAGTCAAGTTAGTGACTTTGGGGTTCAGCACTTTCATTTAATGGAGTGTACATTCCTGACCCATTGAAGTGGGAAGAAGCAGGGCCAAGGCTACTGATGTGTCTTGCAAAATTGAGCGCTATAGAACCCCTGGAGACCCAGGGAGAAAGAAAATTAGGATGTGTTGGTAGCTCCTGTCTACAACTGCTTTTCAATTCTCCAAAAGCAGAATTGAAAGAAGGATGGGCATAAAAGGCAAATCTCACAGTGGTGTGAGAGCTTAACCTATTACTTTCCACTGGAGGCTAGTAGAAAAGGAGAGAAAAAATGGAAGGGCAGGAAAGGTGGGTGGGGTTTTTTGTGGGGGACAGGGTCTTTGCAGCCGAGCTAAAGCCTCAGGGAGGAGAGCACGCAACCTGCCAGACATCCTCTTACCCCACCTCCTTTTCTACCTCCTCTCTCAAGCCCAAGAAAGTCTTACCAATTTTATTCATGGTGTCAACTAAAAATTAATTTCTATTTTTTTCTGTTTAGGAGATGATACATGTTCACTGTGGGAAGCATATAAAAGTATTACCATTCAGTGAAAGTAACATTTTGGTATAGCTCCTTCTTGTCTTTTTGTCATGCATATATTTTGTGTATATTCCATACAAATATGAGTTAGCATTTTATTTTTTTTAAAGAATTATTCCTTTTAAGATTTTCATTTTTATTTTATTTATTTTGCATAGAAGGATGGGGGTGTAGGCCAGAGGTGGGAGTTGATGAGAGGATTCACCAGAGACAAAGTGGGGAGCAGAACAGACATATTTACTGAAATACACTGCTAAGGGGAGCAGCGGGCTAGAGAGGTCTACTGCACCTTATGTGGGTTAGCTCCCTGGCCAGGGATCAAACTCAGGCCATCGAGGTGGGCCTACGAGTGCATGCACTGATATTTAACCCCAAAGCCACCAGGGAAGCCCCGGAGTTATTATTTTAAATGATGGAAGTATCCATGCATATAGGATTCTATATGGAGCTTCTTTTCAACTAACATAAGTTATGAGCCAATGCTGTTAGCAGTACTGCTCAATGAACAACTCTGTACACAGATTCTCTCTCCTGGTAAATTCTTTCAAATGCATTCTTTAGCAGTGAGCAAAGGTATATATGTAACTTTTTAAAGTTCCTCTTATATATGGGCAAATGCTTTCCAGAAAGGTTTTGTCAAGTTTCATATCCACTAAGAGTATATGAAAATATCTTTCTCAGTTCAATAAAAAGGATTATTTATTCTGTGTAATCTGATATTTCTGTTTTAATTTAGTTGTTTGGTGATCTAGATTATGAAAATCCAAGTAATCTAGCAGTCGGCAATAAATACACCGTGATAATCCAGGTGCAGGATGTTGCTCCTCCATACTACAGAAGCAAGTATCGTTTTGCTTTATTTCGTGAAGCATCTTCCTTAATTGAGTAGTGGCCATTAAAGTGCACTAGGCAATAGCAGGAATTGGTTAGGTGTTTGTGTTTAAAGGAGACTTAAAAAAAAAACACCTGAGAATTAGCCAGACTCCTGTCATGCATCACACATGTTTAATCAGTCTCGAAATCCTTTCTTCTGTGTCACCTCTGACAATCTCAGGCTCTGCTGCCTCATCCCTCCCTACACTCTTCCCACTAGTGCTGCTCTAGAGCAGGGCTTCCTCTTTCTTAGCTGAATTACAGCACTGAATCTTTTAAGGTGTCACTTGTTTTAGTCTTACTCCTTTCCAACACATCCTCCATATTCCTATCAGTGACTTTTAGGAAATGCAAATGCCATCCTATTGTTTCCTTGTTAAAGCCCTTGAGTGTCTCCCTGTCAAGTTCAAGTTCAGACTCTGACTTGGCACACAGGACTTTCAACTTCTGGCCCCTGCCATACTCTCTCACTTCCTCTCTCATTACTTGCCTCTAAACACTCCCCCACACACACATTTTTTTCCAGCTAGGCCAAACAGCTTGCAGTTTTCCTGAATGTGTCATGCAGTTTTATACTTTGGTATCCTTGCATATTCCTACAACCCCAGCCCCTGGCCCTATTTGTCTAGCTCTAATTACCCTTTGAAAGCTTGGCTTGTATTTCCTCCAGTTTCTGTAGTTAGTGACTTGTACGTGGGTTCTTATAGGGGCAGGAAGGGACACAGGGCAGGTTTTCTATGATCCCAGCACACAGGGTAAAGGAGGAGTCAGAGTGCTGGAGCTCTCGGTGGCTTTTCAGGCTTTTATTGGGATTTACCAGGTATACAGCAGGCAGGGGTGCTGGTGGGCTGAGAGGCTGGCAGGCCTCCCAGCCCCCAGCAAGTATTCACTCTGTCTGGGCTCTCTGGTGATCTCTGCTTCTCTGCTCTCCTGCTTCTCTGCTTCTGCTGGCGTACCCATGATGCCGCCCTTAAAAAGCCCAGTCTTAGCCCAGGTGAATCCCATCTACATATGCCCACGTACCCCATCTACAGGTGCCTGCCATCAGGCATGCATTCGGGACCAAAGGGTTCTGTCATCTGTCATCTAATGGCGGGAGGGCAGAAAAGCCTGATACTTTTTACTTTACCCTACAGTTCCTCAAAAGGCGACTGCCCTAAGCCCCTTGAAGGCAGGACCCAGGAGGTCATATTCACCTGTATCCCTGTTCTGCACAGAGCATGATGCACAGAAGATACTTAAAACATGTTGATTAAATGAATGGTGAGAATAGAACATGGTGATTTAATTTTTTCTATCTCTATTTTTAGATAACATCTACGTTTATATCATAACAAGCCCAGAAAATGAGTTTCCTCTTGTCTTTGATAGGCCATCCTATGTATTTGAAGTGTCCGAATTAAGCCCAGGTAAGCAACAGACTAGACGCAGCCCTGGGTGGGCTCGTTCATCCAGATGCTTGTTGGGCAGAGGAGGGGCGCTGGCTTCGAGAGGCCCCGAGTGGTGTTGTGCACAGCGATTCACAGCTGATTCACGTTTATTGCATCTCGTATTTCTTTTCAAATTGCCCTCACTGCTGAGAAGCCCTTCAGGTGAAACCTAGATTTTGAAAACTGTTGATTAAATTGCAGTTCTCTGAACCCCCTAATTGCTTCCTCATCTCTGTGGCTGATGCCGCTAATCCTCCCTTTGTGTAGCCCAAGTTTTCCCTTGGCCTCCACTATGATTTTTATTCAGTCACTCAAAGAATTGAAATTTAAAAATAGAGGAAAGGTTTCCCATTTCTAGATTGCCTTCATTTAAAAAAAAAATAAAGACATTTTCTCTCTCCCTGAAGAGGATTCACTGGAGGCCTCTTTTTCGCCTTTGTCACACCTTGATATCTGCAGCTCTCCCCCCATTAAAGTCTCCACTTCCAGCTGCAGTTTCTCCCCATCTCTCCCAAATGGAAGGTGGTAATTTAACTTTAGGATAGTCAGATTTCATCACTCCTTTTAAGCCTTTTATCATGCATACTTCTCTTTTTAATAAACCCAAAACAAAATACTCCCTCTAAAGCTATGTCCTCTCCATCTATTGTCTCTCTTTAGGATGAGCTCCTGACATTAACTTTTTAAACAAAGGGCCTCCCCAGTGGCACAAGGGGTTAAGACTTCAACCTATGAAGCTAGCCACAGACACTGCAGCACGAGTTCGATCCCCAGCCAGGGAGGTATCCACATGGCACAGCAGACCTCTCCTGTCTCACCGGCTGCTCCCCTCAGCAGTGTATGTCAGTCAATCTGCCTGTTCTGTTCTTTATTCTCTGGTGAATCCTCTCACCGCCGCCGCCCCCACCCCCCACAACTCTGGCCTGTACCCAGTTCTTGTATATATAAATAAGTAAATCTTTAAAAAAAGATGTTTTAAACAAAACCCAAAGATAGGATCCAGAAAAAATGCTTTTATTGCCTTATATCTTACTGAGTGAATAACAAATGCAACAGTAATAGCTTTGTATGCATTCACAGATCTGACTACAATTATTGATCCCAAACTTTGGGTCAAGCACTTACTGCTGGGCCTATGTAGTTGGCTAAGAAAGTGTAATTTATGAGGAAGAAGTTCTACAAAACAAGTAATCCTGAACTCTAGCAGCCCCTTCAATGAGATTTGTAAAATAAGCAAAATGAAATTGTATTTAAAAACGTATGCTCTGTAGACTTCAGTTACTAAACTCTTTAAATTTTTTTCATTCTATTTTTAAGAGCAACTCATGCTTATTATAGAAAATTTGAAAAATACAAGACTTTTAGACAACACTGCTATAAAAGGATGTAAGTGTGAAGATGTTCTTTGCAGTGTTATTTACGATGGCGTAACAATTACCGTGCTTGAGAAGTCTGTAGAAAAACTTGAATTGTCTTACCCCTCCCAGTACTGCTTGGCTCACAGGGCCAGTTACCTAGTAGCTGCTCATTAGTATAATTGGAACTTAATAGAATTGAAGATATAAAACATACTGAGTTTGAATAGCAAAGAGGCCTCCGAAAACTTTTCTGCCCATGGCAGTGAGAATGTCTGTTCCTGGGCCCTCCACTCACCCCCTAACGCAGGCCTAATCTCGGGTACTTTTTCCTTCCAGCTAGAACCCAGATTGGACGGGTGCAAGCGACTGATAAAGACTTCCCCCAGAGCAGCGTTGTGTACTCCATCTCCACTGGAGGGGCCAACCACCAGTACCCAAACATGTTTTGGATTAATCCCCAAACGGGAGAGCTCCAGCTGGTGACTAATGTGGATTATGAGACGACCCCCATCTATGTTCTCAGAATCCAGGCCACCAACAGTGATGACACAACTTTAGTCAATGTGAGTGGGGCTATTTGGTACATGCACACCAACTTGACTGGTTCACTCAGGGACTCCCTAAGACCCCTTCAGGTGTGCCTATAGCAAATAAGTGTCTTAACAGGGCACATTCTGCAGAAGTGACAGTAATAGCCAGTGGTGGCCAGGACAACACAATTGGACACATATTGTGGTACCTAGGAGATCAAGATCGATATCTGTAGGCCCAAGTTTGTGTGTGACAGGGAGAATACTGAGCTTGACGGCTAGATGCTGGAATATAGCTACTCTGTGGAACAAACTTCCTCCTGTTTGTGGGCTGGTGCTGAGATGCATGTTGCCCAGATTGGAGCATGACTTCATAGTAATGTATGTCTCCCCCAAGAGTAGTTCTGTCATCTTCCTACCCTACCCCATCCATACCCACCAGATCGGGGAGAGCTTTACATGGTGTGACCTGCCAAGACTATACAGCTTTTCCACCTTTGATGTCCAACTCCAAATGCAGATCTGGAGTCAGCAGGTCTGAGTAGGACCTGAGGTTCTGCCTTTCTAACACTTGCAAATGGTGCCAGGCAGCTGGACCCTGGCCACACTGGGAGTAGCAAGGGTTTAACAGGCCTGTGTTATCAGTAGGTAAGATTATCTGAGGGCAATCGGATGGCCACAAAGATGGAACTATTTCTTGGTCTTTCCCATTGAAAAGTGGAAAAGGATGAAGGCAAAATGAACTCAGCTAGTGACAGGCAGCCTGTGTGATCTAGAGAATGACTGCTTCAGAGTCAGGAGACAGAGTTCATTTCTCAACTTTGATCCCAATTTTCCAAGGGGGGTCTGAGCAAGGCTTATCTGTGTGTCCCAGTTTCTCTCTCTGAAATGGAGAGTCACCTGATTTCCCAATGCCTGAATAGTCCAGTCCCTCTGATGACTCGCTTTGAATTAACAGGACCATGTTTTAATGATGTGTGAGGCTTGGCATTGCTAGCTGAGGAGAAGATGTGCTAAGTTGGAGATAATTGTAGTATTTGTTAGGCTGGGTTTTTGAGGAAAATGAATGGACTCCACTTTGGGAGCTAACTAGAATGAACATTTCAATTTATTCCTGGCTCAGAAATAGCTGAAATCCCTAAATTTCAAAGGTAGGATGAATATGACTCAAAATTTATAAGCTTTTTAGAAGGGTGATGAATCCATAAGTCCCTTTCAAAGCTGGCATTCTCTGATTCTGTGCTGGCAGGCATCCCAGTCCATATTCTGATTCACCAGGCATAAAAGACAAACAATGAAAAAGAATAGGCTGACCCCCTGCTTGTGGCAGGTTAGCACCACCAGCTTAGTGTCATGCTAATAGCCCAGATTATAGATGAGATCCTGCTTAGATAGGTAGACTCATTCTGTCCTTGGGGTTCTCAGCCCTGGCTGCATACTAGTCAGTTGTGGAACATTAAAAAAAAAGTGCCTGGACCCCACCCTTCAGAGTGTCAATTCATTTGGTCAGGGATGAGCCAACAGGAATGGAGCCAGAACTGAGAGTTATCGGTCAATATTCCAGAGTGAAAGACAGAATTTCCAATTCACAAGGGCAGTCAGCAGGGAAATTCAGGGGATCACAGTAAATCCATAATCATTACTGGAAAAACAACTTTGCATCATATGGTGACAAGTCCATATGTCTGGGTGCATGTGAATGTTTATTATGGATGTGTGTTATTAGCATAGGAGTTGGAGGACAGAGTCAGAGTTCAAATCTTAGCTCTGCAACTCACTAGCTGATTTGCCTTAGATTAATTCCCTAATCCCTCTGCCCTCAGTTTCCTGTTATGTAAATGGGCATAGTCATCCTATCTCTCTCAGGTGAGGTTAAATGAACCAGTGCACAAAAAGCCCAGAGCCTATGCCTGGCACACAGTAAGCACTAACTGTTGAGAACGTGCAGTTAGCTATGAAGAATGACCACTTTCTTGCTGCCTAGGTGACTGTGAAGATCCTTGGAACAAATGACGAAAAGCCAATTTGTACCCCACACTCTTCTTTCCTGACCATCCCAGTGGATCTGAAAGTTGGCACAAATATTCGTAATTTCAAGTTGACATGTACAGACCTTGATTCCAGTCCCAGGTCTTTTCGTTACTCCATTGGCCCAGGTACAGTACTTGATGTCAACAGTCCTGGCCCTGCTCTTGCGTTGTCAGAGGCTTTAGCAGATGAGAGAATAAAGTGGGGGCTGTGCCCCTGATGTGGGCACAGTGTGTTCAGGCAGGGGTGCTTTGGATGAAGAAAGGAGGGGTAAGGAATCTAGCAGTCTCGGGGTCTCCAGCTTCTGCTTTTGACCTCCCCTTCTCACCTAATTCTTTCCAGACTCCCATACAAGCTGTCCAGAGGCCCAAGGAAGGGTGAATCCCAGGGATGTAACACCCCTTCCCAAATTCCCTGATCCATTAATATAATTCATAAATCATATTAATTTATTTTTAATATTTTTAAAATCCAACTCCTCAACCACCTCTTTTCCTGTAAGCTTGTCATGGGGAGAGCCTTCTTTCTAGATAAAAATGGATTAAATAGATTAAATGAATTTTGAAATGTGTCCTTAGGAATTCTCTGCTCCATTCATTTTCTCTCTTTAAAAATATACCATTGTGGGGAGGGGAGCACCCCTAAATGGAAATTAGACCAAAATAGCTCATCTAATGAAGTGCTGGGGCCAGAGATTTAAACCCAAACAAGCAAAGCAATTCCACGTGAAAAGTAAAAATCCATCTCGACCGCCTGCTGCGCCCTGGCGGAGCAAGAACTCGAACAGTAGGAAGCCTCTCGAGCAGGCAGTGTCACAAAACCCAGGGGCAGAGACTGCAGTTGCCAAAGATGGAAATAATCCATACTGAGAACCCTCAGGCTTTTATGGAGCACTTGGCTGCTAAGGGAGTAAAAATTGCATCATCTCCTGCTCCATTTACTGGTTTTCAGGCAGTAATGAGTCTGGAGCCACCGGAGGAATGAGCAGGAGCTGCTTGAGAGGGCTGCCACTCTGCCCTGGGTCCCCAAAGCTGTAAGCCTTAAACCCCAATAGGCTGTGGAGGAGGGGAATGAATTCAGGCGGACCTGATACTGCAATCCCTGCAAAGCCGGGAGACAACTACCTTTGGGAAGCTTCAAGGACATCTGTAACAAGCATGACCAGACAGCTGCCATGGAACGCATGGAGTGAACATGGCCTGTGATTAGAAATGTGGCCTGCTCTACCCACTTGCTGCCTACTCATTGGTCCGAGTGTGAATTACTTTACTGCCAAATAAATGCTAGATGATAAGCACTGGCTAGAGAGGCTACTCCAGGATTATTAAATCTCTCTGCCCGATGTTCAGCAAGATGAAATCTACTCTCCTGGGACAGACGTGCCGTAGTCTTTTTCTGCCTTCATTCTCATTTGCAGTCACACTAGTTGGGAGCAAGCATTTCTTTGTTCTAATGAAAGTTCAGGCTGATAGCCTATCACTGATCCTACCCTGGTGCATCAGAAAAACAGTCTACACCTGAGGTGTGGACATTTGAGGATAAGACTGCATGTGGCATTCTTCTATGTGTCTCATTGTCTTTTTCTTCTTTTTCCCAAAATCCTACTTAGGCAATATCAACAGTCATTTCACCTTTTCTCCCAGTGCTGGGTCCAACGTCACACGCCTGTTCCTTGCGACTCGATTTGACTATACTGGTGGGCTTGATAAGATCTGGGACTACAAACTACTTGTCTACATAACTGATGACAACTTGCTGTCAGGCAGGAAGAAAGCTGAGGCTCTTGTTGAAACTGGAACAGTGACACTGAGTATTAGTGTCATTCCTCATCTTACCACGATTGTCACCACTACCCCCAGGGTAAGGGCTTAGACCTGGACTTCCCAGCTATATTCCTTATCATTTATATTGATGGGGCCCTTTGACTTAAGAGAGATGTGGAATGGACTGAAAAAGTTGAGATATTAGAATGTTGCTAAAAAGCCAACGATGGATTGGGTTCAAGTCATCCCTTGGTGGCAGATAAAGATCTGGGGGGAGATTTTGGATTTGTAGAACCATTAACTTTTCCTATTCTAAACAAGCATATGCATTTATGCAGGGACTTATGATAGATCAGATTTGGCCATCCATGGTGTTTGTGACATAGGAACCAGTTTTCATGTGACTATTTGCTACCTTCACCCCCCACCCCTTCTCAGCTTGCTCTTATGAGCCAGTGCAAGTCAATGCCCATGAAGGCAGGTGGCTGTCAAGTGCTCTTCTCCACTCTTTTGAAGAGTCACCATGTACTGATCTGTATACCCCACCTTCACTCTAAAAATTCTTCCAGATGCTGATTTAATACTAAATATGCCAGTCACTTTGATGAACAATCCCTGAGTGATACTCTCATGGAGCATATAGTGTAGACCAGGAGTTCTCAAAATGTGATCCCCAGACCAGCAGCATCAGCATCACTTGTATTAGAAATACAAGTTTATGGATTCGCCTGAGAATATTAAAATTATTCATCACCCAATATGATTGTCATCACAACTACTGGGGATGGATGTTGAAACCTAAATTCCCAGCCACATTCCCAGCCCTACCAGATCAAAGTCTGGGGGTGGGGGTGGGGGGCTCCAGCCAACTGCATTTTTTTTTTAATTTATACAAGAGCTGGAGTATAGGCCAGAGGCGTGGGAGAGTGAGAGGATTCACCAGAGACATAGCAGGGAGCAGAACAGGCAGACGGACTGAAAGCACTGCTGAGGGGAGCAGTGGGCGAGGTCTGCCACGCCATGTGGGTATCTCCCTGGCGAGCCAAGAATCGAACCTGTGCTGCAGAGGCTATGGACAGCTCCACAGTGCAGCGCTCAACCCACTGTGCCACTGGGGAGGCCCCCAACTGCATTTTTGATAAGCCTTCCAAGGGATTCTTACGTGCTATAGTTTGAGAGCCATCCCTCGAGAGGGGGAGACAGATGACAAACAATAGTGCAAATTAATAAAATAACTACAGATTATAGCTGATGGTAGGAAGAAAATAAGCAAGTGCTATAATAAAATCAGTGTGGCAAAAAAAGGGAAATTCTTGAAATCTGACCACAAGATTTCCTCCTCTACCTGATTTGTCCTCTTTCCTCCTAATAGCTGTCACATCCTTGATCAGCAGCCCCTGCTTGCAGTGTGCTAGAGGAAAAGTAATCAGACCCTTTGAATGCTATCTGTGACAGGTGGTCAAATTCTCTTTCTCAGAGTCTGACCCAGAGCTGGTTAGTGTTCATCTCCCCTGCGCTTGAGATAGCATTACCGCGATGAGTGGAGGCATAAGGGAACTTTAGGGCTTCTGGTTACAGTGTCAACAAGCAGATTCCCCTGCCTAAGGAAATGCCACTTTTCTGGGGCTGACAACATGACCCAGTTGTGACATCTCCAGTCCCGAAATCTCCATGACTTGTTTATCTGTCTCCCACTCCAGTAAGCAGATGCTGAACTTGCGATTTTGCTGTGATAGCAGCCCACTCATCTGGCAGTGCAGCTTGTAGTGAGTGAACACTGAAAAGCCTACAAAGTGTTAAAAAAAAAAACTTTCTAAGGCTCATGCCTTGCCAGTGAGAGACAATGGCTATATTAGTCTCTAGGTTATGCCACTATTTTACAGAGGAAAAAAGCCAGTGGAATTTTTAGCTTTGGGGAGGGGGAAGAAAGACAGAGAATGAAATTGGGCCTGTTGTTGTGTTTCCATTTCTTAAATTTCCTGGGTTTTGACTGAATGGGTGTATGGAAAGACTATAAATAAGGTGACGGGTTGAAGCAGCAAGAATACAAGCAAGCAGATGTCCAATTTGTAGAGCAAGAACAAAGAGCAGAACACCCAATACCAGGGAACACTGAATGTTAAAATGCCCCCCCCCCCCATTCTCATCCACCCCTCTCTCTTGTTCAAGCCCAGGATCACCTACCAGATCTTGAAGGAAAATGTTTATTCTCCATCAGCCTGGTATGTGCCTTTTACCATCACATTGGGCTCCATATTGCTTCTGGGTCTCCTGGTGTTCCTGATCATCCTATTGGCCAAAGCCATCCACAGACACTGCCCCTGCAAGCCTGGGAAGCACAAGAAGCCTCTGTAAGTGCCAGTGGGCTGTGCCCTTTCCACCATTTCCTTGAGTTCACTGTTTCTGGTGAGGTCAAAGAAGGAAAGGTAGAGAATTGGGATTTTTCTATGGGGTGGACAAGGTGCCAGGAGAGGGAAGAGAATGAGATCTTGGGGACGGAGTCCCAGTTTCCCTTGGTCCCTCTGTGCAGGCTTCAGCCCCTGCTGGGCCAGCAACCTGATCCTTTGGCTTCCCCTGCTACCTACTCTGCCCTGGGGCTGCTCTCAGTAAAATGGGGCTTCAACCCTTTGGTGGCCTGGCCCTGGATAAAACCTTCAGGACAGCCTGGTTTTGAGTACCGATTGAATATGTTATGCTCTTATTGTGCAGTATTTATAAAGAAAGGGATAGAATTAGAGGAAGCACAAAAAAACTGATAAGGGAATTAAGCTTTTGGCTCTAGTGTCTCAGTTGGGCTTTTGTGTGACTAAATAATCTATTCTTTTGCATGTGGCCCCATCTCTCACTCTCAAGGGCTGTAAACACAGGTCTATCCTCGTATTCTCACCTGCACACTTACAAGCCTCCCACTCGGACGCTCTGCTGAGTGCCTTTCACTTGCAAGGGTGAGGTACTGGAGTCAAGTGAAGAGAGCATTGAATTGGTACAAGCTTCCCCCAGAGCCAAGTTTTCTTGAGTCTCAGTAGCTCTTACAGTGAGAACAGGAGCCTGGGTTTGGCACTTAATGCTGGGGATCAGATCTTGACTACCATTTTCTAGGTGTGCAGCTTTGGGCAAATGACAACCTCTGTGACTCTCTATGTCCTTATCTGAAAACAAAACAATTAAATGAGCAAATGCAAAGAAAGCACTTTTCACTCCTCCTAATATAGAACAAAGCTTGCTATACTACAGCCATTAAGTTTTTAAATCTTGTTGCATTTCTTTTTTTTCCCTCAACTGAGCCCCTGTGAGCTCAGGGTTCTGGATTCCAAGTTTAGTTCTATACCCAGGTATCTTGAGATGGTGGAACCTGAATTTCAGAATTTCTCAGTGGCAAAAAGAAGGGGTGATAAGGCTCATATGCCTTTTAAAGGTATTTTGAAGCTTACCTAATTCTGTCAGTAATTTAAAATCTATGGTACGAAAGACTGTATATAAGTATTACCATGAAGATGTGCATTGCATTTTGCCATATTTATTGGGGAAGTTCGTTGCTATTGGCAACCTTGACTTCAAGGTAAGAAATCCTTGAGCATCTGTTGAAATTTAAAAAAGGCATTTTTGTTTGGACTACTCACAAATTGATTTGGAAGAAGAAGAAAAAAAAAACTTGGCTCCAAAAGAGTGATGCTTAAGCTTGTAAAGATGGCGCTTACTCTGTAATGGGATTTGGGAAGAAACTCTTAAAGGAAGTAATCCAATAGACACAACTCCCATGCAATTTGTGATTAAATTTTAAATATGTACCTTAAACCTGGTTGCTTTAACTTACATTCTAAATACTAAAATTTTTTTAGCATAGTTCACTTTTTAAAAAAAGAAAACTAGCAACTCAGATGCAGATCTGACCTCTCTGGAAAATTAGTTGTACCTTCCATATGGCAGCCAACATTTGTTCAATAGGAAAGAATAAAATTAGAGTTCCAGAATTATAGAATCCAAGGTCATCATAGGAAGGACCTGAGACTCTGAGTCCAGCTCTTCATAAAACAGGAAATCAGTGTTTAACTGTCGGTCCTCAAAATTTCCTGCCGTGAGCCCAACCTTCTGCTCTGGTGGCTACTGGGGAGACAAATAGGCAGGAACACTGACTGGGAGATCTGACAGCGGTGGTCACGCCCCACCCCATGTTGTCATCAAGGGAAATATATTCCCTGGAGTTGAAAAACAAGTTTTCAAACTCATCAAACTCCCAGAACCTCTTCAGTCCCAAGCCAGCGGTGACAGAGCTGCTTCGTGTGGAACAGAGCTGGGTGCCCATCCCTGGCCTTACATTCCGTCACCCCCTGAATCCCAGGCCCCATAGTTGTACAAAGGCCCCCATGAGGTCATGTGTGCAGAAAAGCAGAGCACCCTCAGGTTAATTTCTGTCCATCCCTTTTTCTCCCCCACAGGGTGAAGAAAGGAGGTATGTACAATGCCTATTTCCTTTTTTGTTATTTTAATATTTATTTTTTGCTGTTGGTTATTAGTTTGCTTTTGGTTTTGCTTGTTCTGTTGTACTACATGAAAGAGTTACAACAGCACTGGTCTATCTTGGAGGGTTTGTAGCCACATAATCTGCAGATGGGTTGAAACAGGTCAGAAGTAGCAGGAAAAGGGGAGGTAGGAGTGCGTGGTGCTGTCGGCCTCATGGATATTTCCTTTCGATCCTGTCTGTCCCTCCCCACAGTTGCCTCTAGCCAGCTCAGTGTAATCACCCACTGGTCTGTTCCCCTCCAAGTGGACAGAGTGAAGACTCCTCTGAGGGTAAAACACAGACAGTATTTCCTTGCTGCTGTACAGGGAGGGTGTGACCCCTCCTGAGGACAGCCAGTGCTTTGCACTGGACAGATGCCTCTCTGAAACAGACAAGTGATGCTTTATGCTCACACTGAAGTTGATTTGATCCTTTTCACAGGTTACTTGGGTCAGGCTCATTTGAAAGGGGGACTGAGTACTGAGCTGGGAGTGCTGAATGATTTCAGGGACACAGGTGAATTGAGCAAGGTCCATCTGAACAACTCCAAGCCAGAGGAGATACCACCGCCCAAACCCAAAAGTTGTTATCTCAAGGAGAATCCAGGTTGTGGGAAGAGACAACACAAAGCATTAGAAAGTACATTTATTTTAAGTTGATTGCCTTTTCTAGATGTGCCATACACAAGGCACATCTAAGCAGGGTTAGAAAGTTGATGATAATAATTAGCAATCATATCAGATGCAATGATCTTAATAAATAACCACGAAGTACCCCCAAGTCTGGTTACTTTTTTTAAATGGATGCAAAAAAAAAAAGCCCCACCTTATAAACAACTGTATCAATCTAATCTTCTTTCTTTTTTTTAAAAAGATTTATTTATTTATACAAGCACTGGGTACAGTCAAAAGTGCAGGAGGGTGAGAGAATTCACCAGAGCCAGAGCCGGGAGCAGAGCAGGCAGAAGGACCGAAGTACACTGCTGAGGGGAGTAGCGGGTGGCAGGAGAGGTTTGCGCGCCATGTGGGACCCTTGCCTGGCGGCCGGGGATCAAACCGGCGCTGCAGAGGCTGCGGGCAGCTTCGCAACCCAGCGCTCAACCGCTGCGCTCAACCGCTGCGCCACCGGGGAGGCCCTAATCCAGTGCTCAACCGCTGCGCCACCAGGGGAGGCCCTCCTAGGTGCTGTTCTAACAATAAGCTGGAAAAAGAGTAAAAAATATTTTTCAGCTCTTCTGGCTGTAGGTGCCTAGGGAACCTCAGACTTGGGTGTAGACATGGCCAAGTCCAAGGGCCACAACTCACAACCAATCTCCAAAATGGCACAGAAATGACATTCTGATCACAGATATGAATATTTTTTAATAAAGATTTATTTATTTATGCATATAAGAGTTGGGGTACAGGCCAGAGATGAGGGGGGGTGAGAGGATTCACCAGAGACAGAGTGGGGAACAGAACGGGCAGACTGACAAACACACTGCTGAGGGGAGCAGCGGGCTTCGCCATGTGGGTTTCTTTCTAGCTGGCCGGGGATTGAACTCATGCTGCAGAGGCTGCAGATTGCTTCATAGTGTGGTGCTTAATCCCTTGCACCACCAGGGAGGCCCACAAAGATATGAATCTCTTAAGGGGGTAGACTCCATGTTCTTAAGAAATTTGTGCTTTGCCAAGAAGCCTGACAAGAAGGGCCTGAAGAAGGTGCAGACTAATAATGCTCAGGCCATGTGTGCATGTACTGAGGCTATCAAGCTCCTTGTGAAACCCAGCGAGGTCAACGTTAACATTCCAAAGGCGGCAGCTGCAAGCACAGCCGACTTGCCTACATCACTCCCCCCAAGCTTGGGAAACATGCTCATGCCTACACCACCAAGGACTTCAGGGCCTCCCAGCCAAAGACTGAGGCTCAGGCTGAGGCCCGGAATGCAGCTGTTGTGCAGGTTGCCAAAGGCGCTCGGGGCCCCAAAGGTGCTTAGGCTCCAAGGGTGCCCAGGCCCCACAAGGCTTCAGAGTAGAGAGCCCTGTCTGCCCACGTGAGGGCAGAAGGACTGGTTTGACCCCTGGATAGCTTGCTCAGGGCCCTGGTGTCTTCCTATGCTATTTGCAAAATAAACCTGAAGCAGGACCAAAAACAATTTTTTTTTAATTTTGTGTATTATGCGTGCGTGTATTTTCCTGAGATGATGGAAATCTGTCCACAGACATGTTTACAGAGAGAAAATTCCTCGTCGTGTTTGCAATACTGAGTTCTAAGCCTATTTAGGAGAAATCCCATTAGAAGGGTAGAATTTTCAGGTCAGTTTAGTATCCAAGAAGCTTAACTTTTCCCTCTTCTATTCCCTGCAGGAATGAAGAATACAAAGAGAGAGGCTGTGGTGGTAAGTGGCTGGTCCTGGGGCACCTGCTTGGGTGGTGGCTGGGGGGAGCTCCATCCCCCTCCCAGGCAAGCCCTGCCATCGCCTCCTGGGGGTGTTTATCATTCAGGGAGATGCTTGTATTTGGCTACTGGAACAGATTGCTGTGTGACGAGCTCCTGATAGAATTTGCTCCCTCCGCTGAACATGTCTGCTGATATATTTGCAGAAGAACTGGGTTTCATAAATTTTGAATAGTGGTGTTTATTATCTATACCAGCTCTCCAGGAGAATTGAGTTGGGGGAGAGGAGCTTAAAGACCAGAACTGGTGCCTCATCTTTGATGGGATTTATTTTGTCTTTGCTCTTCCACAACCTTGCAGAAAGGTGATAAAGAGCTCTGCTGGGGTGGGGTTTGGCTTTGCCCGCTTGGCCGTATGCCTTTGGGGACTCCCTTGGTCTCTTTAAGCTTCAGATTCCTCATCTGTAAAATGGGAGGGAGAACTCCTGCCCTGAGATAACAGGTGAGGAAATATGTGGAAATTGTTAAGCCTCGCACAGTGCAAAATGTTACAGCATAGCTGGAGAGGTGCCCCGCATCCTGCTTCCTTTTCCCTTGTACTGAATCTGATCCACTCATGGCAAGCAATTCTCCCTGAGAATAAGACTTTATCATCCAAGACCATAAATTTGGGGAATGATATGCACAAGGAGGACAGCCCAGTGCTCTGGGAGCTTTGCTTCGGGCCCATACCTGGCTTCCATAGGTGTACCCCAGATCTACCCATAGAGGTCAGGTACCAGGACGGATACCTCTGTCTTGGAAGAGGAGACCTCTTGTGGTCTTAAGACCTGGTGGTCTTATTGCCTAAGGCAGGTACCTTTGGTGATGCCACTCAGAGACTGCATTAGAAATATGTAATATTGGGCCTTCCTGGTGGCTCAAGGGGTTAAGATACAGCCTATGAAGCTATTCGCAGCCACTGCAGCATGAGTTCAATCCCTGGCCAGGGAGCTTCCCACATGGCGCAGCAGACCTCTCCTGACTCGCTCGCTGCTCCCCTCAGCAGTGTATTTCAGTTAGTCTGCCTGTTCTGTTCCCCACTCTGTCTCTGGTGAATCCCCTCACCCCCATACCTCTGGCTTGTATCCCAGTTCTTATATGTATAAATAAATAAATCTTAAAAAAAGAAATATGTAATATTAAATTAATCCATTAAGTAAATAAATCCCCTGACCTTTAAAAGTGGGGCTGCTGAGCTGATCAAATGGATGAATCCCACAGTCTCCATTTCTTCTCTCTTTAGAGTTGCAGAGCTCTAGGCCAGTGAGTAGGAGATCATTCAGGTGATGAAAACTGGAGGTTGAAAGGCCCACTAAACACCAACACCAGTATCCTCAGAGTGCTAAAAGGAATGCCATTAAAGGAGGGAAGGGGGGTTATCACGGGGGCAGGACAGTTGCATTAGGCAGAGGTCAGTTCCTGCTAGGTGTCACAGAGTGAGGATCAGGATAAGACAAAGAGCACAGGCCTTAGGAAAGGCAGGCCAGGTCCAGATGCAACATCACCTTGACCTAGGCTGGGGGCACAGCCAGTGCCTGGAGGTGGAGTGTGTGAGTGCCCACTGTGCCAGGCTTCTCACGTCTACCTGTCAGATCCCACTCAGTGAGTTCGATCTTAACCTGTGAGGCATGGCAGTTCTGCTCTTCCTTCTGTGCTGCTTGGATATCATTCACTCAGGGGCCTTCCTACCTCCCGTAGTCTGGATTGAATGTCTTCCCCCCACTCCCACCTGTACCCCCAGAGCATCCTATCCCCAGCCCCCTATAACTCTATCACTATTGAAGGACCTGTTTGTCTGTGGCTCCCACCTGACTGCAAGCTTTGTGCCAGCAGTAACCACACCTCACTCACTGCTGTGTTCCCAGCTTCTAGCACAGTGCCTCTTGAATAAATAAATGTCCAGAAGGCTCTGGATGAAGACCTGGGGCTGTGGGATGAGCAGCCTTGCCTGGAGGAAAGAGTATAGGGTTACACTTGAAGTTATCACTTTCTTCTCTTTAGGAAACAATCCAGATGAGCACGGTCTTTGATGGAGAAGCCATAGACCCAGGTAATTAAGTGGCGGTGCCACCCATAAGGGTGTTTTTCATATTCCAGTTTGGGAAAATATAGTCATTAAATCTGCTCTTAACTCAGTTTGCCAATCCATTTGGTTATGTTGCTTATGTATTTCTTGGCTGAAATACAACTTGAGGTCAGCTCTAAACAGATCAGGTGTGAGTCTTCAGAGGTGTTCCATCTGAAGCCTCTGTCTAGCCTCTCTCCTAAAAGTCATAAATCAATTTTCAGGGAATCGGTGAATTAAAAACCTATATGTTTTTCTACCTTATTTGGACTCAACCTCTCCCCACCCCCATCCTTCTAGAACATTTCTAATACCATCCTGTTGGTAGTGAGAGATACAGAGAAATGGCAAGATTGGCTTCTTTTTTTCCCCCTCGACCCCGGCCGAGAATTTCTTTTTTGTTGGCAAGATGAACATAAGGTAAAGCTGGCCTCCAGAGCTCTCATCACCCCCATGAAATCAGCTCCAAAGTTAGCTCCTTTACACACATCCTTCTGCTTACAAAGGCTCAATTATAGACGTGAATAAAGGGAAGGAAACCAAATTCAGGAGGCCAGTGTGTTGGCTCCCTGCCACCCTCACATGCAAAACCGCTTGCTCCTCCTCGGAAGGAGGATGGCTCCTCTCCAGTGAGAGGCTGCTGCTGCTGCTGGAATTAAATTTCCCTCTATTATTAGGTACTTGTTACCATAATGTGCCCACATTAGCATAAGTGCTGGTGGAAGCCTCAGCCGAGAGGCCACTCAGGCAGGATGGGAATGGCAGGAGCAGGGACTCGCCTGAAGCTCAGTCTTCTGGGGAAAAGCTAGAGAGGACTGAGGCCTTAGCTTGCACTTGTGTGTTTGAGAGAAGAAAAAAGGAAGAAATGAGCCAACTGCTCTAATGTGAACAAACACATCAATTAGTGTCTGCTGGCTCCGACGCAGGGAAGATGTTCTCTTGCTTGCATCATCTCAACTGGGGCCAGATTTGTGTGTCTGTGTCGACAAATCTCTGCTAATCTAACATAAATAAAAATAAATTTTTCCCCCTTACTTGGTGAATTCCTTTTTCTAGCAGAGTTTTGGAAGTCTTTTCAAACAAATCAGAAAGTAATGGGTGACTTAGGATGGAACCTAATTTATCCGAAGCTCATATGGAGTTCAAGATACACATGGCCTTGTCATCTTATGCTTGAGGAGGCCTGGAGGCTCCTAAACCTTTCTCTCCAGAGACATGCTACTTTGTAGGGCTGGAGGAGCCTTAGAGCTCTTGAAAAGGGCAGACTGGTGAAGATGGTGTTCTTCCCAAGCCTGCTTGTACCTCAGTGAGTCTCACCTGGCTGCTTCATCTTTCTTGGGGGAGTGGGGAGAAAAGAAGGGGGTTGGGGGAGATGGGAGGAAATAATCTGTTGAATTCTTTCATTTATATAGTCATTCTATATTTCTTTCCCTAGTTACTGGGGCACTATATGTATTCAACTCAAAAACTGGAGTCAGGAAGTGGAAAGATCCATTAACCCAGATGCCAAAATGGAAAGCTTCCAGTCCCCAAGGAGCTGCTCCAAGTGAAGCTGTCTCTGGGGAAAGGACCTGGCTACCTAGGAGCCCTGGCTGGGAAGGAGATGGGCTGAGCCGCAAAGCTCAGGCTGAGGATGCAGGCCCCAGCTTCAGGAACCAGGATGACAAGCCAGGCACCCCAAGAAGCAAAAATGCAGCCCTGACAAGCAGGGCCTTTCCCAGACCACACACAGGACAGTAAGTGGTATCTTGTTGCCAGCACCCCCACCGGTGTAGCAACAGGGAGGGGTCTGGACAGTCAAGCAGTGCTGCCTCACACTTAATTCTGTAAGGGACTGGGGTAAGGGAACCAGGGGTGAAACTATGGGCTAAAGGGACTTCGGGACCTGGATCTCAAATGGGATGTTTGACAAACTTTAAAACAAACAGAAAGAGGTTGATTACACAGTTGCCTTTTTCTGAAATGACACAGGAGAAATTTCTCTGTGCTTCTGATCCACTGGATGTGGAACTGTGTTTCTTCCCCACATTGGCTGATAGGAAGCTCCCCATTCCGCTCACCCCTCGGAAGTACACATAAATATTAAGGACTAGCTTCACACATTTGGTTTCATCTTATTTTCCTGCCTTTATTTTAGTATCAGCTAGAATTCTTGTAAAGTTCAACACCACATACCTTTTGTAAATCACCTCAATCTTTATCAAAAGAAGCAGAGCCACGAAAAAAAAAAGGGGGGGACGAGCAAATAATGGGTCATTCATCTGGAAGAAGGAAACATAATAGGTACTTTTTTAAAATTCTTTTTTTATTGTTGTATGACCTATTCAATAAAGTGTATAGGTCTAAGATAGTCATCTTGATAACGTAGGCTCCTCCCAGAGATAATAACTATTCTGATCCTTAGCAGAGATTAATTTGGCCTGTTCCCAAATCTCATATAAATCACATAGATTCCATTTATATGGTCTTATGTCTGGCTTCTTTTGCTCAATGTCATATCTGCTGTACTGTAGATCAGGACAGTTTCTCCTTTGTGTCTTCTTCCATTGTACAATATACCACTGTTTATTTATGCATTCTATACTTCAGTGGTTGCTTCACATTTTTTGTTACAATGAGCTACAGCACCATAAACTTGTGGATGTCTTGGGATGAGCATAAACACATTTCTTCTGAGCATACTCCTAGGGGTGGAATTGCCAAAATCATTGCTGGAATTTGCTGAGAATTCCAAAGTTGGTGGTGCCAATGTACACTTCCACCAGCAATGATTTCGTGTTCTGATACTTTATGTCCTTGTAAACTCTTGGTATTCTAGTCCCTTTAATTTTAGTCATCCTGATTAAAATTTCTCTTGAAATGAAATCACTCTTTTTTCCTCAAAGCTAAAACAACATTAACCTCCCTGCCCTGGTCCTTCCTACCGCCTGCGGTTGAAAGCAACCACAGGACTCAGTAGAGACACAAAGGGAAGCTCTATTCAACCACATGACTGGGATTCCCTTGTGGGTGTGAGCAACAAGCTGAAAGTGAAGGATACCATGATGAAATAGAAGCAGAACTTTTCAGTGTGTGCCCAGTAGAGACCAAGCAAGCGTGACTTCAGCTCTGTGTCCTGCTACCCAGCTGCTGTGATCCAATAACTACAAAAAACGACCAGAAGAGAGTCTAGTAGAGCAGCACCCCCTCCCCAGTTGGGGAGCCAGATGAGGACATCCCGGGCCCACAACGACCTGTGGGAGGCAGGCAGAATCCATCCTGCAAACCCGGAACTTCAGAGGGAACAGCTGCTGGTTTATTGTGTGCATATGTGTGACTTCTCAACAAAAGAAACATTTAAAAAATGCCCCGTCCTGGCCTAGATCAGGCGTGATTTATTAATAAGGGTTGGTTGCCAAGGAACTCCCTTGAATAGCTTTAAATTTTGCAAAAGTAGGCAGAGCTGTTCATTTGTGGAGGTTAAAGTGGGTGAAGTGGCTGATTACCCATTTAAGACTCCAGGAGTCTGTGGAACCCCCAGTAAAATGCCTTCCTCAGAAGCTGTCGGCCTCAATGCAAGTACAATGAGGCTCAGAGAAGTCTGAAGGGGGACCTAATAGCTGTTTATGAGCCCATTAAGGATGATTAAAAGGAGGGCAGTGAGCAGCTGTTCTCCCTTCCACTGTGATGACAGGGCAAGGGGGAATTGTGTTCCAAGGCCAGAGAGATTTAAGTTAGGCACAGGGAGGGACTTCCTGCAGGCGGGAGTCTGTGTGGAGCTGTTTCTTCCCTGGTGATGGACAGAAGGAGCTACTTGTCTCCCAAGCCCCAAGAGATGAGTCCCAAGGAACCCAAGACTTGAGGTCAGGAATGGCCTGAGTAGCAGGCACCTGCCCTCCCCTGTGCCCCCTGCATATTTGGCTCTTTGAGTCTGTGGACTAAAGCCATTTACTAAGTTTGGTTTCTCACATTTACTAAGTTTGAAGCCAAGAACCATGATAAATCTTTAGAAGTTTTCTCACATTTCTCTCCCTAGACTTTAAACACCTGCGCAACTATTATAACTAACATAGACTTACCTGGCTCTGAGTAAGCCGTAAAGACGGTTAGGACAGGAGGAATGCCTAATTGTTGAGGGATTTAAAACCGCAAGGTGAGTTCCTTTTTCTTCACACCCTCGTGGGAGTGCAAACTGGTCCAACCGCTATGGAAAGCGTGTGGAGATTCCTCAACCTACTAAAGATACAGCTTCCATATGATCCAGCAATTCCACTCCTAGGTATTTACCCAAAGGACACAGAATCATTAATTCAAAAGGGCACCTGCACCCCTATGTTTATAGCAGCACTATTTACAATAGGTAAGCTATGGAAACAACCCAGATGCCCAAAAATAGATGACTGGATCAAGAAGGTGTGGTACATATACACAATGGAATATTACTCGGCAATCAAAAAGATAAACTCATGCCATTTGCAGCAACATGGATGGAGCTAGAAGGGATCATGCTCAGCGAAATAAGCCAGAAAGAAAAAGAAAAATACTGGATGGTCTCACTCATAGCAGGAATTTAGAAAACCCAAATAAGAGACCAGGAAAAAGGCTAATTATAATAAAGTAAAAATCAAAATCAAAAAGCAACTATAAACCAGAGACACACTACAGGGGGCTGGGGAGGGGAAGAGGGATTAGGATAAAAATGGGGGGATAGGAATTGTATGGGGAATATAACCAAGATGAAAATGCGTACATTATGCAAAAATGAAAAATGATGTAAAAAATATATAGAATAAAATTTTTTAAAAATCTGAAAAAAAAAATCTAAAACCACATGGTGAATTCTGAAGGCCAGCTTCCCGCTATACTCATCAGGAAGCAGGGTCAGCATCTCCGCCCGCCTATGTCAAGGGCATGTGTGGCTCCTGAACAGAAATTTTGAGGACACCTGCATGTTTATAATTCTGTCACTTGCCTTTTTATGTGTTGGGATGACTGAGAAAACTAAAGCAACAAAATGAATGGATAATGAAAATAATCTTTATTAGAACTTGGTGTTTCTTATCTGAAAGATAAAATGTGGGGCCTCCCTGGTGGCGCAAGGGGTTAAAACGCAACCAATGAAGCTATCCGCAGCCTTCGCAGCACGAGTTCTATCCCTGGCCAGGGAGCAACCCACATGGTGCAGTAGACCTCTCCTGACTCGCCCACTGCTCCCCTCAGCAGTGTACTTTGGTCAATCTGCCTGTTCTGTTCCCCACTCTGTCTCTGGTGAATCCTCTCACCCCTCACAGCTCTGGCCTGTACCCTAATTATTGTATGCATAAATAAATAAATCTTTTTAAAAAAAAAAGATGAAGTGTGAGTTTTGCCTCCCATTCTTTCCATAAGTACTTGTAGAGCATTTACTGTACATGACTGCAGCCTCATTAGTCAACACAGCATCCCAAACCCCTGTCCTTGAGAAGCTTACATTCTGCCTGCTATAACTGATGTGTTGTCCCCAGAAGTTCTACTTCCAGTTCTATCCTGGAAGATTTTTTTCTTGTTTCCTCGAGTGTTCTATTGAAAGATCAATTAATCCAAGTCTAGAATTTCCATTCTGGAAATTCTGGTAATTCAGAACCACTTAGACATTTTTTTAACTTAATGGGAAGGCCCAGTCCAAAAACAGCTGAGATGCACCAAAGTCCCAACCTTGTATTGTCAGGCCAGCAAGCTGCTTACTCAGCTCCAGTAGCAACTCTGGGCCTGGCGTGACTTCTGTGTGTTGAAGATGCAAGTATTCTGATGCCAGTGAGCCCTTCTACCTGGAGCTCAGGGAAAAGGTCAAAAACAGCATGGGGGGTTGGGAAAGGGAGGAGGCTCAGATCACAGAGACCCTTCAAGTTGCCACCTGTGTTGGGAGCAAGAGGAGGCTCTTGATTTATAATCCAACTGAGAAGATAACTGGCTTATTGAAAAGACAACCAAGCACTACATGAGAAGAACCAAAGGGGCTTCAAAGGTAGTGAGGGCTGGAGAAGGTAAAAGTGGCCAGAGGAGTCTCTGAAAGTGTAATGGGAGACCTGGACCTAGAAGAGGTCTCAGAGAAGAGTTCAAAGGGGGAGAGGAGAGAACAGAAGAGGAATTTTGAAGATAGGTTAAAACAGAATTGTGGTCTTCAAATCATTTTCAGTCAATTCTTGTGTCACCTGGAGTGAATAAGCACAGCCTGATGCAGAGCCTCCTGGGTGTGTAGCAGGCACTCAACAGACTTGCAGAGTTGGGTTGAATTAAGCAAACTTGTAGTTGGTTTTCTACCCTGGTCATGTAGTAGAGTCGCACCTTTTCCAACTAGATTAAGACATTATCAAAACAAAAACTTACTGAGTGCTACTAGGTACCAGGCTCTGGGGATATAACAGTAAATAAAACCAAGTTCTTAGCATTTACATTCATGTGTCTCTCAATGACATTTTGGTCTGGATGGACCTCTTATGTGATAGGGGTCCAATAGGCTATACCCTATAGCCTATGTGAGTAGTAGGTTGCACCATCTGATTTTGTGCAAAAACATTCCATGGTGTTTGTATAACAAAATTACCTAATGATGCATTTCTTAGGGTGCCTCCCTGTCATTAGTGACACGTGACTCTGGATCCTAGTGAGGAATGAGAGACTGAAAGTACAAATGGACACTGGCCAGACTGTATATGAAAATAGAGCTCCGGTCCACAACTTGCAGCAACCTGCCCAGGAAACCAATCACCTTATCTACGATAAACAGCCCAGGAAACCGGCCTGCACTAAATCATACTTACAGGAACCTAGATTTCTATCTCTCATCACAGTCTGGGAAGATGAACAATAGCTTCTATAACAATTGGCCCAAAACGGCCAGGACTTGATTAATAACTGACAGCTTCCCTAATTTTTACTCCTGCTTCCAACTTGGGACCAACCAGAAAAAGTCAAATACATACCATAGGATGCCCCCTCCATACAGCCCACCTACAGCTCTCAGGCCAACAGCTTCCAGTCAGGACCCACCTGAAGCCTTCCCTTTTTTCCATTATAAAGCTTCTGCCTCAAGCCTCTGCCTGCCTTTGGGTGTCTGTTAATATTTCAGGTAAAGGTGACTCCCTCCCCTGCTATCGTAAGCTATGAATAAATAGCCTTTGCTTTTCTCATATGGTTCATCTTTGTTTATATCCACAGGGATGATACACGTATATCTATAAATGTAGATGTATGTCTTATATACACACACATATGATGTATTAATGGTGGAATATGCTATTGAGGAAAATGAACAGGATCAGGGATTATGGAGGGTGGAGAAGCCACTTTAAATAGGGTGGTCCTGGAAGGTTGCGGTGAGTGAAACAGTGGAAGTAGGGAAAGAACAATGCATGGAAGAACCTTCAAGTAGTGAGCCTGTAGGCAAGGGTGAGGTGAGGGACAATGACAGGAGGAGATGACTCCAGAGCGGGGGTGGAGGGGCAGTGGGTGTGTATCTGTATGGGGGAGGTTGGGGATGTGTGGTTCTGTGGTGTGCATGGTGAGGAGTTGGAGGTAGGTGCACGTCGTATTGGGCCTTTGGACTGTTGTGAGGACTTTGGCTCTTACTCCAAGTGCTATGGGGAGCCATTGCAGGAATTTGAGTAGTGATGTGATTTGATTAATGTTTAAAAGCATCTCTCTTTTTTTTTTTTAAAGATTTATTTATTTATTTATACAAGCACCGGGTACAGTCAGAAGCGTGGGAGGGTGAGAGAATTCACCAGAGCCAGAGCAGGGAATAGAACAGGCAGACTGTCGAAACACACTGCTGAGGGGAGCAGCGGGTGCAGCATGTGGGACCTTCGCGGGCAGCCAGGGATTGAACCGGAGCTGCAGAGGCTGCGGGCAGCTTCGCAGCCCAGCGCTCAACCGCTGCGCCACCAGTGGAGGCACTAAAAGCATCTCTCTGCTGACTTGAGCATAGACTTCAGGGAGTCAGGGAATAGGAATAGACAGTAGAGAGACCAGTTAGGTGGCTATCAGATTAACCAGATTAATCCAACTAGAAGATGGCTGTGGCTTCGTCTGGATGACAGAGGAAGAAAATGCAAAATCCTTGCTGTGAGAAGATTACTGAGTTCTCTGGGGTCCTATTCCCATGTTGGATAAAGGTGTCCGAGCAGGCTAAGCTAATCCCTCAAAGGAAGCTACCAGAATGGCTTTTTTTTAAAATGCTTTTTGGATTTTAAATCATTATTTATTTTAAAGTTTTATTTATTTATGCATACAAGAGCTGGGGTATAGGCCAAGGGTGCAGGGATTGAGAGGATTCACCAGAGACAGAGTGGGGAACAGAACAGGCAGACTGACTGAAATACACTGCTGAGGGGAGCAGCAGGCAAGACAGGAGAGGTCTGCTGTGCCATGTGGGCCGCTCCCTGACCAGCTGGGGGATTGAATTTGTGCTACAGAGGGAGGCTGCAGATAGCTTCATATGTTGCGTCTTAATCCCTTGCGCCACCGGGGAGGCCCCGAAGCTACCACAATGTTTTAGAGAACATGGGGCAGCTCTTCCTGAATGAGCTGCCTCGTGCCCAGTCTGCTGCAGGGAACGGTCGTCACAGGTGCTGGGGAAGTAGAGGGAACCCCTCAGTGTTTCTGTCCCACTGAACTTCCTGTAAGATTCCAAACAGGCTTCAGGAAAGAAGCCAGGACAGTGTTTTTTCAAGTAGATTCTGTGCCCTGTTATGGGAAAGGTCACAGACACCTCTTTCAACTTGAGCAGCGCATTAGGTTGGGTCTAGGCCAGGAAAAAGTAGTTCTGATTAAATACTTTTCATTGGGAAACCTGAATTTTAGGCAAAAAAAAAAAAAGAAGAAAAAGAAGGTTGCCTGTGACTCCCCAAAGAGTCTGATTTATTGGGAAATGTGTCTGTTTCAAGGGGGGAAGTGAGATGACTCTGTCCTGGCAAACTAGAGCCCTATTTTGGCAAACTGGAGCCCTATTTTGGCAAACTGGAGCCCTATTTTGGCAAACTGGGCCAAAATTTTGGAGACAGTCCCAACTTAACATGATGTGCCCTACCATCCCTCTGAGGACAAGCCATAATTATCAGTCTTTATTTCTGGTTTGGAAAACATGATCCTTGTAAGTCTTAAGACCAAGGCACAGCATGCCTATGAGTTTTGCTGTCTTCCTGTGGGCTGCCTGCCATGGGCAGCTGGCCCTATGCTTGCAGGCGCACATCCTGCTGTCCACGCCCCAGTCCCAGCGTGCCTGGAGGCCCTCTCATGCCTGTGGCTTCAAAATGGCCTGTGGTTGTTATCGCCCCTTCTGCATCAGGCACAGCTGAGGGAAGGAGGCTCCTTAATCTGATTCATAGGCGAGGCTCACAGAGCGCCGCTCCCCACACTGCCCATCTCATTTGGTTGTCCACAGTCGGAGCACACTCCAGCTGGCATGCTAAGCAGTCTTTTTTTCGGTAACAATTTTATTATTTGTATTGTCATGTAATCCACGTGCCACAAAATTCAGTAGATTTTAAGTATATTCACAGTTATGCAACCACTACCACCACCTAATTCTAAAACATTTTCATCACTTCCAAATTAACCCTGTACCCATTAATAGTCATTCCCCATCCCCAGGCTCTGGCAGCACTAATCTACCATCTGTCTCT